ACAGAGCATTCCGCACCACTGAGTGCTGGAAGGAGAGAGATACTGAGCTAGAGGTGATTGTACTGAACTCCATCTTGGAACAACAGGCATAGGATAGTACCTGTGGATCCTTAACATCCCACTCTCTGGCCTGACAAAGGTTTTACCATTGTGTATCCCTTCCCTTCAGGCCTAATAATTCTCAGAACAAATGGGCAGCTAAAGGCTGTTCCTTATCTTGAATCTCCTTTTCTTTAACATGTCTTGTAGTAATGGTTTTTCCCAGTTTGATTTAAAGATTGTGAAGCAGAGTTCCAATTCTTTCTTGAGAATTCCTGGCCTGATTGTGTTCTGGGGTAAGTGGAGCTCTCTGAAATTCTTTCTCGTAGGTGTACAGAACACTTGCTTTCTTCCTCCAGCTATCACCCTGAGACTGTTCCGTGCTTTCACCCTCTGCTCTATCCTTTCCTTTTTGTTCGTTTCCCCTTTTCCAGGGCATTTTCAAAAAAATTTCACTTGCTGAAAGTAATATAGATTCTAGTTTGCTGGTGAACTCTATCTCTGCAGAAGAAAAAGAAAAGTATGTTTTTTGTATTTTCTGGAATGTTTTTTGTGATGCTCACATTAGCAATGCATGTATTGGTTTAAGAGTCCAATCACTACAACAAAGTAAAATGTAACTACTTTACATGCTGTTATGACTTACAGATACTGTTACACCACAAACTTTCAGCAAACTTTCAGCATCCCCATTTGTGATGGAAAAGCTGCTATAAAATTGAAAAAGTAGCTCTGCAGGGAGAGCATGCCATGACCTGAAAGCTAAGAGCACATTTACAGCTTAATAAAGGGTCTAGAAGGAATATACATGCTTTTCTGTTGCTTTGTGCTTTGAATTTCACTCTGTGTGTACTGGAAGATGAAATCTTTTGTGATCCCCATTGGAGAAGCAGTTCAGCTGGTTTTAAGAAAGCAAAGAATAAAACCAAAATTGGTTGTGTCTATCTCTACTACTGTTTGTAAGGTAAATGTTGGGGAGGAGTGCAATCTAATGACAAGATGTGACAGTAGTGACACACATGCTAAGGACAGTGCTATTAAGGTTTTTATCAGGGTTTAATATGGTTTATTTTACTTATATAAATACTCTGTATGTGCCTTAATTACTTAAGGACTGTGCTAATCTTAGTTCATGCACCTTAACCTGAAATGCCCCCATACCCCACTCAGATTGTGACAAACCCCTTCCTTCACATTCAGTGGCAGTTTTGCACTCAGACAGGGAGCTGGAAAACATCCTCATTATCCAGTATGGTTCTGCCTGAGAACTTGGCTTCTAAACACAACACATGAAAAAGAAAGAATGCTCTTCTGGTGAAGTTAGTGCCATCCATGTCACCTTACTGACAAAATAATGCCTTTTGCTTGTTCTTGCTACAAAGGAAAAGACTTTGGACACAGAACATTGCCTACTACATTTGGAGCAGAGGGCTTACAACAGCCTGGCAACCACACTGACTCAGCAGTCCTTCTGCTGTGATTCATTTCCCAGTTTTACCTGCACCACTACCGTGTCTCAAAGTGAGGGGATCACAATGACCAAACCCACAATGCTCTTAAATAGGCTTTAGGCTTTCCACAGAGTGCCATGATGGTATTCCTTATAGGTATACCTTATTCTTCAAGCCCTAAGGATGGGGATTTCCCACAAAACCATCTAGAAGAAGTAGAGAAAATGACAATGAATGCCTGAAAGTGCCATCCTTTTTTACAGACCTGTGGTGTTGTATCTGCCCAATAGGGCCAAGAATGGTTCAAAAGGGTTGTACTATTCTAAGAAACAGAGGAGATTTCTGTAGGTGTAGAAAACTTATTTGGCTCACTTCAGAGAATTAAATATTTTTTCTCATTCTCAATCCAAGCTGTATGGAGCAAATCCATTATCATCCACAGAAGAACTCAGAAAAAATCTTAAGTGAAATGTGTATATGGAATGGGACAGGGGAAGAAAATGGAGGAAGGTATTCTTTCAGTCCAGGCTTAAATGGAAAGACTACTCAGACAGGATTTTTTCTTTCCAAAGGTAAAGGGACCTGATAATCTGGGCATGGGGATACTAGTGGGTCAGGTTAGTACTATCTGTGGCTCAGGTTGGGGTGCAGACACGTACGGTTACAGGCAGAGGAATCTCCAGCAGTGCAATAGTGATGTAGGCTGCCAGTGTGACCTCGTCATTCACTCCACCCTGCAGGGAAACACAGAAGTACTTGTTGATCCTATAGAGTGCCACTGGCTTCTCCCTGTGCTACATACCTACATTCTGCAGGGACAAATTCTCCCTGGCTTCTTTTTCATGCTTAGTCCTCCAGAAGATGGTGCTGACTTCTTCCTGCTTCTATGACAGCTCACATATATATTTCCTCACTCCCTCCCATACCCCAATTGCTGAAATAACTCTGTTGATGCCAGAGTGACTTATGGCCAAGTTCCAGCCTGACAAAGCCCATGTGGAGCCAACCAGGCAGACCTCTTACCTTCATGGCATTGTTCAGGAGCGTCCCAGAACTGCGGAAACAGCCATTCTCCTTCTGCTTTTGAGTAAGCCAGATCAAAGCATCCTGGATGTGCTTCTCCTCTATGAAGATATGAGGCTGGGCCTGGGCAAAGGACTTGAGGACAAATGCTGTGAGCCTGAAAGTGACAGAGGGAACCAAGACATCCTGAGTAGACCCTGTATCCATCAGAGGTCATAGGACCCATTTAACTTAATCTCCACTTCCATTCCAAATGCCACAATGCCCAAGCACAAGAGAACACCGAGGAATAAGAGGACATGAAAAACAGAACTGAAAAGCCAAAGGTACTGAAGTCTTACCAGGTATTTCCAACTTGCCCATAACGTGGCCCAAAGGTGCTGTAAGAACCATCCCGGTGTTTGTACTTCAATTGCCTTTGATACCCTGAAATGAAGAGTGAAAATGTATTTCAGTTGCCACAGTGGTTTTCAAGGAGCCATGCAAAGGAAATGCAGCAGACATGGCACACACTGTCCCTCTTGGCTATGGCACAGATGTGACCTGTGCTGCTCAGTATTACAAAGGAAGTTCATAGAAACCCCCAGCTTTGAATATCTCTATTCTTGTGCTCTTCCTGTCTCCAAAAACACCTGAAAGCTGGCTATCTGTGGCCACTGCTGCTGTCTGCCCAAGACTTCAGGAGGAGAGATAAATGCATCCCAGACTTGAGAGAAATGGGAGAACGGTTCCCAAAGGAGAACTGATTAAAAATGTGAGTCTTACACAGGATAGGAATGCAGAAAACAGGGTAATTTTCTTTGGAGGAAATGCAATTTTCCTGCAAAAATAACTGAGTCACAAGCACCCCTTGCTAGTCAGCAGATGCCCATTGTGTACATATATACTGATGCTGTGTCTGTCATCATGCCCTAGCTAATGTGGTAAAATTCTGCCCTGATCAAAGGTGAACAGTACTTTCACACCACAGTCCTAAGGAGAATTCAAGATCTACATAAGCAGCTGCTATGATTAATAGTTATAGTCTGATTTATTTAGTTCATATAACCCTTTTCCTATGGAGGGAAATCCTGAGTTATTGCCAGCCCTGGACTTTTTCTGTGTTCCGTTTGGATGCTGCTGTCTATTATCCTGTACCTCCAACTGAGCACAGGATTCCTTCTTACAGATACTGTATTGTACCCCTCACCTGCCAGTACCCTGTTCCTTTCTAGAGACAGCCTCCAACACATCATCCAGGCCAGTGGCCAACAGTGTCCTTATCCAGTAGCCAAGGGAAGGGATGAACAAAGGCAAAAGCTCACCGCTCACTAAGTATCCAGTGGCCTTGGATTTGATCTCCTCACTCAGCTGCCCTGTTTTGTTCAGATAGTCCAGGACGTAGATGTTGGGTGCAAAGAGGACCATGTTCTGCTCTCCACAGCCAAAGGGCATCTGGAGGAGCTGGTGCAGGTTCTGCATGGCAGTGCCCATGATGTCACCTGGGCAGTGGGACAATCCACAATGTGAATTGGCCATTAGACTGAGCACAGCCTGAAGTGGCAGTGTTTCAAAATGGCATGAGACACTTTGAGGAGGTTTCACTTACCTAGCACTGAGAAATATGCTCTGGCTGAGCCATCCACCACAGTCTCTGGGAGAGCCAAGGAGACTGTCTGTGACACTGACTCTTCTGGGATAAAAAGCAGATTAATTTGGTTACAATTCCAGATGTATCTACAATGCATGGGTAGCAGCTATCCATGGGTGAGACACTATCCCCTTAAGAGGGGTTTCCTGACTTCAACAAATCCATTAATCTGTAATTTTGTTGATGACGTTTCCCATCTTGCAAATTTTTTATTGGGCCTGCATCACCCTCATACACAGATTGTCATGGACTTCTACATGGCACCATCAACCAGTTTTGACTGACAAAGACACCTTTTCCAGCTGATTTTTCTGGCCTTTTCTGCTTTGGTGGGCAGACCTGGTTTACTGCAGAGTCTGGTTTGTCCAGATTTTAAATCTGTTAAATGAAAGGCATTAGAGATAACCATATCAAATCCCAAATACTCTCTCCTTGCATTGACCTGTCCAGCCTCATATCTTAAAAGATGTGCTTCTCCCTCTCTAATTGTAGACATTGTTATGTTCTCAGCTCTTCTCTCACAGGAAGAACTGTTTTCACTAACAGCTGAATGTATATCTTCTTTGTTCAATTTTATCAGATCCCTACACCTTTCTTATCAGAGTGGAGCACTCACAAACCTTTTATTCCAACTTTGTCTTTAGTTTCTACCTCAGCAAAGAAAGTTTTGGAAAATCTTACCAGATGCACAGAGCACAGAGTTGTATGTGGTTTCTGCTTCAGTCCCTTCCGGCTTGGGGAAAAGGGCAAGGGAAAAAAAAGCAAAAAAATGAGAAACAACAGCAACAAAGAAAAGGAAGAAATATCAAAAGGGGAAGTAAAAGGCACTCTTTGAAAATTTCCTAGAAATTTTTCTCCTCCATGTGGAAAACTGAGGATAATTGAGAAATGTAACATAATGGCTAATTACAAGTATGAAATGTAATACACTTTCTTTTCTTTTCTTTTTTATTACTGAGAGAGGCCCTGCAGCTTCACAGGTTGTGATGGAAATAACATGCAAGGTAATGTTATCAACAGGGATGTGGGACCTGGTCATCTGAGTTGCCACTCACTGTGGTGATAGCTGAGTGTCTGGCACATGGGGAGAAGATGTATGCAAGAACTTTGACTGGTGGCTGCTAGAGCACTCCAAAGCACCTGCAAGTGACATGCTACAACAACCAAAATTTAAATGTGTTTATAAGTTCTAGTCTAGTCTTTGAAGTCAGAAAAGAATCTTTTCTGTTGAGATGGGTGAAAATATTTTGCAGAAAACTCAGGAATCAAATGTTTACTAGAAAACTGGTTTTTGTCAGAATTTGTTTTAGTGAGATCCCTGCACCAAGTTTTTAGCCTTTAAATTGGATAGTTCCCATTGCTTCAATACTGGTTTCGAGGTTTTGCTGGCTGATTTTTTTTCCCCAGCATGTAAACAATGGTGTTATTGTCTTCACTTTCTCACAATCAGAATACAATGCCTCTTGTTCTTCAGTATGAAAAGACAGAAAAGTATTAAAAGTGCAGGGAAAAAACAAAAGAAAAAAAGAACAAGTTTTTAGGATAAACTGTGACAGAGTTAAATGCTTTTGTTTGAAAAAGCACCTTCTTGCTTGTTTCAGTAAGTCATTCTGATGTGCAACTAAATGACAAATCCATTGTTTTGTTTGATTTCCAACAGGAAACGAAAACATACAAACTGTAATTGTTTAGAAGATTTTCCTTTCCAGATGAGAAATTCCTGGGTGAAAAAAATCCCTTTTCCCAAAGTGCTCTCAATGAGGCTTGGATTCTCAAGGGGCAGGAAGATGCCCTGGGGCCTCTGGCACACTCCTCTCTCTCTCCGGGATGCACTGCCTGCTACAGGGAATATTGCCATCCAAGTGCTCAAGAAAATGCAGCTTCACCCCAAGCATGTTGCACTGTATCCACCCCTGCTAATTAATTGTTCAGCCTTGGATGCTAATCTCCAATTCCATCGTGTCAGGGCTTGCTGTAGATTAATTGCCACATTACAATAACAGGATAGGATGAGCAATCTCTCAGACACCCTGACAGAACTAACGCTAATACTTGTTCAGTAATTTACATTCCCCCGCCATCTGTGAGAAAAGACTTTACAGTGCTCTATCTCCCTGTATCTTCAAAGAACTAAACAAACAGTCTTTTTTCCTGAAGGGATATGTGAAATTAGGAAAATTTCCTGAAATGTTAAACAGTTGTTCATGTATTATACATTCAAATCAATTTGTTAAAAAAAAAGCAAGCCTAGCAGATAGGACTGTTCCAACATTACATTCCAGTTAGCAAAACATTTCCTGAAGCTACATTAATCCTAGCTCTGCCTTACTGAAAACTGGAATGTCTGCAATGTAAGGAGGACTTATTATTATATAAATTTCCATATACAACAAGCTGGTACTTTTTGTTTGCTAATAGCATTGCTGGAAATCTTATCTGAGGATTGATTTTATGACTGGCAACATACCATGTGAAAAGCTATGTTTTTATCATTGCAAAACACTACTTAAGAAGGAAGTGTACAAAAAGAATGCAAAAATAAAAGGTCAGTTACACTGTTTTAAACATTCTTAGAGGTGTAATAAAAACATTCAATGATGGTAGTCATGAAGGTAAAATGATGGTCAATGATGGTAAAAGTATTCACTGATGGTAGTTTTGTTTAGAAATATTTGCAGATTGCAGTGACTTTTCCATATTCCAGAGTACTGGCTGGAGGTGAAGCATAAGCTTTCTGGTTAGTGTTCTGTTCACAGCCTTTCCCTGTGATTTATTACAGGCAAACACAGGGATTTCTCATTTATCTCTGATATTATGTGTCTCGGAAAAACCTGTCATTATTGCCTGCCTTATTATTCCTGTCCCTCCATGTAATATAAGACCCTGCTTTGACTGTGAGATGGCAGCATTATGACTTATGGGCTCTATTGGTCTGTGTTACATTTATCAGTGCTTCTCTTGTTACAGCTTGCAGAATAAGAGTCCCACAAGCCATTATTGCTGCTCTCACAGCTAAACCAGAAAACCTTTACCACACAGCAGCTCTGGCTGTCACTATTGCTATTTTTCTGTGCCACCAGAATGAGCAGCCCACGTACCTCCACCAGCAGCTGTCTGATGACCGTGTCCTTCCGCCCTTTCTCAGGGGTCTCCACAATGTAGTTCCCGCAGGGCTGCTGGTTCTCTAGGGCCTCAGTGGTCACTGAGAGCTCCACCTGCCCTGGAGGAAACAGGAGTCAGTCAGCCCTGCCAGGCAGAGCCAGGGAAATACAGGTTTGTGTTTGTGCTGGGAACTCTGTGATGCATTATAGAGAAGTTTTTCCAAGAGGAGAACTAAATCTGAGACAGGGTTTTATCTTGATCCAGATGCAGCCTTCCAAATCACCTCCTTTGTGATGGGCACCCAAGCAGGTGTTAGTCCATCAGCATGAAGAGCAGTGAAGGGGAAGGTCTCATAAATCAAATGGTCTTTTTCTGGGAGGTTTCAGAGAACGCAAGCTTTGATTATACAATTTCAGATGCAAACACATTAAGACATGACATTCTCAGCTCCACAGCTGGAATGTCTGAGTTCTTTGCATGCCTTAAGGGAATTTGTGATTTCTATTAAAATGTTGGGAAAGCCGTGGCCTGTAACATATAGTTTGTTTAGGATCTGGAAACACTACACCCAGAGTAGTGTCTCAACCTCAGGGCTGGACTTCTGACATAGACAAGATCCTTCCAAACAGGTTTGGAGTCACCTAGCTCCTCACACCAGAGATCTGGTGCCATACACTGCTATCTGATCCCAGTATCTTCTCATCATCTGGTCTCTTACCTAGAGATCTTGGTGTTACTGCCCAAGCAACAGTTTTTCTTTCATTCACGCAGATGCAGTAGGATTCCTCCTGTTTCCCCACTGGTACAGCCAGGAAATCAGCAGATTCAGCCAGAGACACACCGACCTGCCAGTTGTACAGAGAGGGGTTGTGAGGTTTGAGAAGCTGGAGTTATTGCAGACAATGCAGTACATGGAAATGGGTAGTGGAGCTACCTATTATGGGTATTGCAGAGCAAGAGCTGCCTGGTAAAGAAGGAAATGACTGAAATTTGTACAATTGTAGGAGATCAGGGAGGTAACTGTAGAGAACAGCATCTTTGGAAAGGAAATTGATTTTGGGAAAATGAGTAGCAAAGACCAGTTGTGTCAGGAATTAAAGATCTCCCTCATGATTAGTTAGGTGAGGAGATAAAGCACCAGCAGTGGGGAAACTAGTAAGGGAACAAAGAAAAGAAAATAAGGAAAAAGGAAAAATGGAATAAAGAGCCTGAAAATAGCAAACAAAATAGGAAATACAGGGACATAAGTGAGAGTGCATTGGAATGGCTGAATAAGCACACCTCCTTGTTTCAGCTTCATTCTTTTTAGAATAAAAATCTGTGTTTATAAAAAACTAAGCAAAGGTGATTGAGATTATGTACTAATCCCTTCCCAAATTTTCTCTTGCCTTTTTATGTCAGAAAAAAATGCAGGTAAGAGTGGTGAAGCTGTATAGCTCTCCTCAGTGTTTTAGGGACAGATGCAACAAATTACAGGATGTCTGCACATTCCAGCAAATCTTCTGTGAAGTTTTGAGAGATGAGACTAAAGGCTGAATGTAATATCCACCCTGGTGAACCTGGAATTTCCATTTGTGCATGCAATGATTCTATGACCTGTGAAGAACCCAGGTTCCCTATTTCTGTAGAACAGTGACATAAATTTGTGATGACAAGTCTGGGGATCTCAGTAGCAGAGCTTCAGGCTCTAAATAAATGCAGCTTTCAAAACTTTGACAGGAAAACACATTTCATTGAATGCAACAAGGATTTGTACATACGTACACATATATGAAATTACATTTGCAGATCAGTCATCTGGCTTGGAACACCTGGTAGAAAAAGGCCCACTGCAGTCTCCCATGGCCGTTAGGCTGAGCAAAGCTGAGAACATCCCTTACCCTGATGCAGGCAGGCAGGTAGTTGAAAACGGTGGCTTTCAGCGTGAAGGACTCCCCACGCACCACAGAGTAGGGCATGGTGAGCTCGACAAAGAAGGGCTGGAAGGCTCTGAGGGACACTGTCGGGGACAGGCCAAAGCCTGAGCCTGCTGAAGTGCAGAATGCATTGGCTTTCCACTCAGTGATGGTGTCAGGGATGGTCACTTCTAGATCAGCTTTTCCCTCAGAGCTGGTGAGGGACAGAGAACAAGATTTCAGTTGTATTCTGGTGTTCATCTATTCTCCTACTGAGCAATATCTGCTGACAGCAAACCCCTGCCCAGCTGGGATATAGGCACTGGCTTTTGCATGTTCCTCTAAAGCTTATTATTACTTAATGTCCTTAAAAAATCCCTCTGTCTGCTAGAAATACTCCTCTCACTGAAATACTGATACATCCACTGAGACTTTAACCTAGTTCAAGGTTTTGGCCTAGTGACCACACTCTACATTCTCTTGAACACTTACTTCACTGAAACTATGTCCCAGATCCATGTCTCAGGGAAGTACTTCCGGACAGTCTCCATTGGATTGCCATCAACCATATCTTCTGCCATGCCATAACTCAATTCTCCATGCAGATTCATTGCAGAGACTAGCAAAATTATTCAAGGACAGGAAGAAAAGAAATATGTGTCAAACTCCATTCTAAACCAGAACAACTACTTTCCCTCCAGGTAGTTGCTATTCTTAGGTCAAATTTTAAAATGGAAAGAACAGCTTTGACATCTTGGCTACTAGAAACATAAATTTCTCTGTTGCCATCTCAGTATTTAATTTTTTCTTAATGTTGCTACTCTTCTTACAAAGATTGGATGGAGTTGAGCATTCTTCCCACGCTGCCAGCAAACCCCTCAGTGCCAAAAGAACCATGCATGATGATATGAGGATATATTTTTATAGCAATGCAGAATCAAATGTGAAGCTTACTGTCCCCAAATATTATCATGGCATAGAGTTTAATAATCTGGTTGAAGAATTGATTGCATTTATACGTGACCAGAAACAGAAGCCACATTTAGCCCTCCATCTAGGAATTTTTTAAAAATGAACATGGGTCTTTACATCTCTGGCCATCTCACAGTGTTGCATACTGTTATGCCTTATGAAAGGGTTTTCCAGGAGGCCTAGAAGACTTTACATCTTCTCAAAGCAGACAGCTGTCTTGAGCCATACTCTGATGACAAATCCTCCATTTGTCAAAACCAAAGATCTGATCCTTATGAGTAGGAGGCTAGAAGCTGTCACTGGACCAAAAGCTACAATTGTTTAATTGGAGCTGGGGTACTGCACCATAAAAGTAACTGGAAGTGATATAGGTGAGTCTTTTATATAGTCTTTCCAATCTCAGATCTGTTTACGAAAACAAGCAATAAAAAGCAATATCATTCTATCTTCACAGTCACTGAACGTGCAGAGAAGTGACGTGACCTACCTAGCCCCTTATAGTCATGTAAATGGGGAAACTGGGAACAGAACCAAATTTCTCAGCCCCCAGTGGTAAAATACTGACCCATGGGATTGTACCACCTTCTCATTTGTCTTGGCCCACTTTCACCCTAGTTGTTCCTCTAGCTTTTGCTAGAATGTGGCTGCCTAGAAGCAGATGCTCCTTTTTTAGGTTTTCATAGCTGGACTCAGGTCTGATGGGAAGAAAACTCTGTTACTCTGTGCTGAAAAACTCCTTTATTGCCTACAAGCCCTCTGCTGCTGTAGGGGCTGGCATGGGAGTCACCAAGCACACACAGTTCTAGCCAGGCACATCTGGCTGCCTGGGAAGATGCAGGCAGAGGTGAATCAGTTTCATATTTCAGGACTAGGTCCAGAAGGGAAGGATCCTGAATTAGATCAGCATATCTGAATCAGATCTGCCTGTGTAATTAATATTCAAAGATTCAAAGAGGGAAGGAAAGAGACAGGGTGGTAAATTTTAGGAGGTTGTGTGAGAGGTAAAACCAAGAAGGTACTAGAACCACTGTAACTCCTTTCCATCATGTGTTCTGGGTAATGCTCGCAGAGTTCAGGCTTATGGATCTTGCTGCTAGTGAAGACTTTTAAGCCCAATTCCTAGTAAACAAAGAGAAAGAAGAACAAAAAATATGCAAAAAATTGTTTGAAAATAAACTTTATTTAGTATGTCAAAAATGGATGTACCTAAGTCTGGTATTGATCAGAATAACAAAGACTTGTGTGTAAATTCCAGATAGGCTGGTTTGACACAGATGTGGAGTCTCTATCATGTTATTCTCATACTAAGGCTAAATCCTGGTATGATCAGATGGAAAAGTAAGGCCACAGGCCTACCCTGGGGACAGCTGCCTGCATGAAAATGGTCTGTGTGAAATGCACTGGAGGGAGGGTACTTGTGCAGGACACTTTGAGGGGATACGCGTGGATTTGTGGGTTATCAAATTAACTGACACTTTAATAAAGACCTATTTAAACCAGAGAAAGAAAACATGAGTGAATGAGGAGTTTCTAATATTATGGCACTAGAGGTAATTTCTCAGGACTGTTTCCTTATCCAAGCCCTTTTGTAGGTGTCTGTACTATGAGGAGACCTTTCAAAGCTTTAATGGTTTAGAAAAGGACTCAGTTGCTGTTTATGGGCTAAGTAGATGTGGGAACTGAGCCTGGTTATTTTCTTGCATACAAACATGAGCGAGTTTACAGCAAATGAGCTTATTTTTTTATTAAAAAGCCCTTCAGGGCAGGTGAGAAGAAGAGAGGAGACTGAATTAAAAAAGGGAACAAAAGAGAAAAGTGAAAGGCTGGTGCTTACTTTGAGAATGTCATAGGCATCCCCTTCGCCATCAGAAGAAATGGGTATGTAGAGAAATCCATTTAATGACAGATTGTCAAGCGATACACATGGATTGACGTTGTCTTCTTCCAAGTAGTATTCCCTGAAGCTGTAACCCTGGCTCTCCTTCACTGGGAGAAGATTATACACCTGGAGAAATGCAAATAACAGGGAACAATGCAGCAGGTCACCACTTACAGGGACAGAAACAACCTAACACTCCACTGGTAAATGCCAGCTTCTAAAAAGCAAGTGTAAGGAATGCAACTGTAAAAATACATAGCCCCGTGTCTATAGTGCTGTTAGTGAGTGCTTGCTTGGTTCTTGTACTTGCTCATTACCAAAAGTAGCCAGAACTCACAGAGCTGGGAGAAAGCTCATTTTCAGGCTTCATAAGGAGAACACTCTTGTCCACTGCACGAAGGGCACACAGGGATCTTGGAGAGGTGTGGAGTTGCAGATGTGTGTTGGAAGAAGGAAGACCTTCCTTGGGTGCAAAACTCAATCTCACCTGCAAATCGAAAAGGAAGTTCAAGCATCCACTTTTCCAGACACTGTTACATTATTATTCTGACTCTTCTAGCTGTGTGAACTGAAGTCAGCTAGTGTCTAATGGATATTCATCTTTGATCAATGTAATTAATAAATGTAATTAATAGGGATGAGTGATTCTCTTTTTGTTTCTGTCTTACTCCCCTTTTTTTTTATTTTCATAACTTTGTAGCTTATTTTGGTCACCAATCCTCAGTCAACATCTGGTCAGAACATTTCATGAACCCATTGTGAATTCTGCCTTCATTCTGGAAATCTAAACTGAGCTGCTGTCCACAAGACAAACATGGATTGCATAAACCATGACTTGTACTCACTTTATTGGGGAGGCACATTTCAACCTGGAAATCCTGTGAACTGGCAATGACTTCCCCACTGGGTGAAGTGGTGTACACAAGCATCTGTGCCACAGGAGCAATTGCTGCCTCAACAGAGAAGCTCAACCGAAATGTCCCGTAAGCTAACAGAGAGAGTAAAAGGCTATTCAATATGCAAGGGGTTCCAGTATATGCATTTGCCTCCCCCAGATAAAAAAAGTCAAGTCTACCCCTGATGAATATTTTTAATTATCAGGGGCTGGCAAACTGACACATGACTAAAACTTATGGCTGCTACTGAAGACACCTGCATTTAAAGACTGATTGTGAATTGACAAAGCACTTGAGTTTGGAGGGCCTCTCCCTGCCTTCTAGATTCTCCCCAGTTAACATATGGCGTAATTTCTTGATGCTCCCAACCCTTTTTTCCCCTCAGGCTCCAAGATCTACAAAAAAAATAGTTGAGGAAAAAAAATAAAACATGACTGTTGCAAAGAGTGACAGAAATCAAGGTTGCAGAATGGCTGAAAGAATAACTTGGCAAAGTTACTACTAAGCAAGCACTTATCTGGAACACCAAACTATTGCTCCAAACACAGTAGAAAATGCCCCTTTGTACTGGTAAACTCTATCAGGGCCTGAGCTTTATGTCACAATCCAGACAAGGTGACAGAACATCCCTTAGTACCAGCCTGCATGGGAGTTCAGTCACTGCTCCTAGTGAGGATACAGAACTTTTTATAGTACACGAGATCTTTTACTGCCATAATCTGTTTATATCCACTGCAGTGCAACTCCTTCTCACAGACTTAAAAAATGTCTCCCTCTTCTCATTTTCAAAAGACATTTAAAGTTGCATCACAGCCTGTCTCTGGTACTGAAATGTGTAATCCTTGGACATTTATGTGAATAAATTTAAATGTGTTGATTAGAATATAGATATGCATGTGTTTGCATGCTTACAAGGCAGGAACAATACAAAAAATAGGGGAAATGAGAGAGACAAAGAAATGGAGGCACGCTCTTCCTACTTCTTGTATGCATGAGTCTCACAGCACTGGTAAACATCCAGAATCAGAATAGGGTAGAGTGGCCATCAGAAAGTGCTAGTTTTAGGAAATGGCCAAAACATTATACTTATTTTTGGTTGAATATTCTAAGATTTTGTCATTAAAAAATAGCACCTGTTGAAACTCAGAGCAAACAAAACTAACCAAAGCCACGCCATCTAAAAAGGCTTAATTTTGAAAATTCAAACATTACGTGCAAAGTTTGAATGAAATGATAAATTCAGTGCTTAAATTGAAGTAACTTATCTATATTCCCCCTGCTCCAAATTAGAATCAGAACGCTAAAAAGGCATAGATCTGCTCACCATCTCCAGGATTCACATTCAGATCATAGGTGTCAGCTAATACGATTTGTCCCTTGGCCATCACCTGTGTAACAGAGAAATCTTCCTCGAATTGTTGTCACAGTGTTGAAAGGCAGGAGAAGGAATCTTCATTGGGTTAATTGTAAGAGTGTGAGCAATACCAAGAAGATGCTAAGCAAGTGCCAGGCTGGAATTTACTGGTTATTTGGAGACAGAAATATTTGCTCCTAGGAGGACCACATTGATCATACTTATCTTTGCTTTTGTACATATTACATATATAGATCAGGTTCAAATGCATTTTGCCTCTAACCACACATAAATCTGGGAGTCATCTGCACATTTCTAACAATTTGGAATGGACTGGAGGTCAAAAAGTCTCATTCCTCTCCCAGCTGCATTATGAAACAGTATGAAGAAAAATTTCACCAGAATTAGTTTTATAACTGCACAAAGCTGGGACAGAAGACCACAGGATGCAAAGAATAAGAGTTTGAAAAAGGTACCTGAAGTCAGGTAGTAAGCAATAGTCTAAATTCTTGCTGTAATTCCCTCATTTCTAGAACAAGATTCCTTTTGCACAGTCAAAAATGCTTTTTATTCAGTTACTTTTGATATGGACTGATTTTGATTATTTATTCCACAATACCATATTTTAATTTCATGATGTGAGATCCACATCTGTAAAACTGAAGATTATCTCACTGTTTGTTTACCCGCTGTATGTACATCCTAAAATCAATTTTCCCAGGCAACTGGGATAAGCAGGTATCTTGTCCTTCCATGAATTGTTAGAAGTCTTGAAAAGAAGGACATAGACATCTCTATCACAGGTTTCTATTTCCATTTTTGACTATCAGTCTAAGTCCCCTGATGTTCTGTGCAGTCCATCAGAAATGAAGTGTCTGTTCTACTCATATTTTATTTTTCCCAAAGCTACTCTTGTCTTCTCTGCTAGTGTCATTAAATGGGATAACCAGAAAAACAAATTTAGGGAGAAGACATTTGGATATTCATTTGAATCTTCCTGTTCTCCCAAGAGAGACTGACATGTCACTGTTTGGGCACAGTTCAATTAGTCTCTCTTCTTTGATCCCCAAAATGAACAAATTCATAGTTCTTAATGCCAGCATGTTACAGTCTGTTCCAATTACTGTGGTCTCCCAAAATTCTGCACACGGACGACAGAGAAAAGAGAAACACTAGCAAAGTGTATTTAGATTGCACTGTTGCAGGCCACGCTTTCCATTTCAAATGCTCTCCATCATTACTGGCCATACAGCAGTGCTCTTGCTTACCATGGAACATAGCTAGAGGTTACACAGTAATTTCTGTGGCTGTAGATCAAAGTAACTCCAAATATGTCTTACCAAATAATAAATGACAATTTTCTTCTGGTCCCCTATGGCCTCTGGTGTGAAGATATAGTGCACCTGGACCTCTGCTGAGGAGCCACAACTTAATGTCTCAGGCTTTGGCTCAATTTTGAGGAAGCTCTTACTGAGGGAGTAAGAGCGAGTTACTCTGCGCGTCCTATGCTCATAGGACGGTGTCATCCAGTCACTGTCATAACAGTTCAGCTCAGGTTTATGCTCTGCCTGAGAAGAAAGAATAAAAGGTTCATAGCCAAACAAAATCAGGTATAAAGTCACATAAAAGTCCACAGAAAAACTCTGGATATGTTCTGTATTTTGCATTCTTAGGAGATTGTGAATAACATGCAGAGAAGACACAGAGAAGTGAGGTGACCCACCAAGAAACTCGCCTTACTTTGCAATTGTCAGAAAAGACTGATAATCCATGGACAGACATTTCCCCTGTTGAAGAGAAAGACAGAGGCTTACCCCTGTCTCTGCCACTCACTCGGATTTCCAGGGAGAGTTCTGTGAAGCTGGTAGTGTCTATGGAAAACCAGGATTGTCCCTGCTCATCTGTAGTGTAATTCCCTTTGTACTTGTTTCCACCCACAGTAATCGTGATGGTTTCATTGGCAAGTGGAGCATCAGTGCCATCGACCAGCTTCACCTAACAAAGCAATAACAAACTTCAGGTTTTAGACTAGCAAGAAAAAACAATTCCCAAGTAATACATCCTCTTCCCTCTTTTCCTCCTTGCCAGGCATGATATTTCTTGATAGAGAAGAACAAAGGAAAAGAATGTGGAAATGTGTGAGGCATCCCCTGAGGTGTCTGAGGGAACAACTGAGAAAATTCTCAGCAAAACAACCTGATCAGCCCATGGTAATGATCTATTGGGATCCTAAGTTCCTCAGTAGTTTTAGTTTTCCCGGCCAGCTTCATTTGGGACCTCCACCACATATCACCTGCCTCTTGAACCATGTAACCCACACACCCCACGACTCCACCTGATGGGATTGTGCACTTGTGTGTTTGCTGTGCCACTCATTGCCCAGGGTCTCAGAAGTTCCCTACCATCCCAAAGAGTGGGATTCCTGGTTTGTACACATAGTCCAACAGGTCAAAACGGATTTTGCTCATGGTGGATGTGATACCACAGGAGCCTGTTCCAGTCATCTCTATTCCTGAGACAGAACACAGTAAAGAGGGATTATGAATGAATTTCTAGTCATCTTATGCCACCTTCCACGTTTGCCAGTTATGTAGGCCTGCCATAACTTTGCCTTCCTCATGTCCTACGTACCTGTGCCATCTTCTGTGATTTTGCCTCGTACATCAATGCTCATCTCATATCCCTTGCGTAGGAGCTGAAACACCTTGGTCCTCACCACACCAGAAACACACCCATGAACATCTGCCTAAGCGAGGGATTGAAGAGCAAATTGAAATTCTGTGAACAAAGTCTGTGCCTTGAGGAATGAAAATAGATACCCCAGACCCAACATGCTTAACTTCTATTCTGAAGTTCCAGAATTTCTTTAAGAGTTGTCTCCAAGAATGTGTGTTCAACCTGTTTCCTAGTGTTTCATCCACATATTTTCTGTGTTCTGTGAGGTACCTGACACACAGTTTTCCAAGGCCCACACTGGTTTCCTTGTTAATTCCCTCCTGCCTTAGTTCTGTTTTTCTTCCTGTTTCTTCCATTGTCTTCTCTCTTTATGATGTTCCTCTTTCTCCTGTACTTGACCCATATACAATACAACCTTATCTTTATTCCTTGTTCTCTATACAGCCTTCTTGTTTTCTCCTCATCTTTGCTCCTTGCTCACAGTCAGTCCCTCTCACAGTTAGAAAATTCCTTCAAAGATTCTTTTCTCAGTTTGTGGAACAATGCCAAAGACCTCATGGCTGTCACTAGCTTCAATGGGCTCAGGTTTTCATCATCAGTTCTGTTTCCAGTTTAATGATCCCTCTGTTAGGAATGCCTTCTTCTGAGATTCTCTGCTTCTCCCTGGAGAGAATGCTATCTCTGATGTCCTACTCTCTCCCAACATATTTGATCTTTCTTGAGACAACATTGCTCACTAACCTTCAGAAAAATATCCACATTTTGATCTTGGGACTCACCCGCCTAGTGAATTCTTCACACACAGATTCTGTTTCTTTTCCGTAACAACTTGAAGCAGACTGGGAAAATTTCCGGCATACTTGGACATTCACCAAACCAGGAACAGGCTTCCCATATGTGTACCTAATCACAGTGTGTTAAACAATGTATCAGATAGAGAGACAGTCAGTTACAGTCACACAGACACATCTCCTTAAAGACCTCTGTGGATGATTTCCTAATACTTCTGAAAGGATGACTAATCTGACATTTCAATGATTTCCATCACTTCCATGGTGAGATTCTTCCATTATCCATGGAAGATACATTCATCCTGTTCTAGGTGGGACGTCTCTGCAGAAAAAGGTTGACTTTAGAAAATTATTTCAGCCAGGACCATTTGTGTATTACAAACTGCTCAGGATTCAATGAAGAAATGGAAAGACAACCAGTACTCAGAAGGAGAGATTTATGAGTTAAAAATGAGAACAATGGGTTAGCATCACCAATTTAAATGATGTCTGATCTGGCATATTGGAGTATTTGAGGGTTCAGCATTGGCAGAGAAGCTCTAACTGAAGAAAAGTAAAGCCAGAAAGAGAAAATGTGAAATAAACTGGGAAAAGAAAGATGCAGATTTGTTTGTTATGATCTTTCAAGGAACACAAGGAAGACCCTTCACTTTGACTGTTCAGGCCAAGCAGCAGGTTCAGATCTGACAGAATTAAATAAGTGTTCACTATATGCCTGGGAAAAGTTTAAAAACCCTTCCCGAGCACTTCTTTTGGTCCTCAGCAAAAAGGACCAAGAGTGAAGGATAAGCAAGAGAGATTTACAGGAGTTCTGTGACTCACAGACCACAGACAGACACTGGAAGCTCGTTGTCCTTAATAGTGATCATCTCTGGGACCTTCACCAGGACCTCGAACCTGGGCAGCACTAGATGGAAGAGAGAAAGTCTGGTATGAGAAGAGTGAATAAGAGTTGTTTACTACACAGCAGCCCAAGCAGGATCCTCTTCATATGAACCTCTCTGTGGTCTTCAGTATAGATCTCTACCCCTTTCATAGGTTTTCTCAGCCTTCACCACTGTTTGGGTTCAAAGGCAACTAAGGAAATCTGTAACTCATACCTTGCCTTATTGGCAGCAGAGGCTTATGTGGCACCAGAGAGTTGAGCAAATCCCTCACCTGTGTCCATTCATGAGGGCACACTGGTCCTGGGTGATGTCTTCATAATGCATAATTTGCAGCGTGGGATTTGGAGCAGCACATTCACCACCTTTGTAATTTACCACATTGAAATGCCCCAGATCACTGATTCGCTTGGCTGGTTCTTGCTGTTCTGGAGATCCAGAGCTGCCCCTAGGCTCACTAAGATGCACTGTGGGATATTGTCCTGCATACCCAGAGAGTTCAAGTGAATCTAGCCACAGACTCTCAGATATATATTTTCAAGTGGAAAAGGCAGCACTAAAGCCCAATATAAAGGGGCACAAGTAAAATACATCCTTTGCTCCTGAGCATTAAGTTACATCCCTCTTCCCATATTGCATCCTGCAGCCCTACACCTCCAACTCCTCATGCCCAGGACTGGACTGAAGCATGTAATGTCCTGCTTTCAGGTGGTGCAGCTGAGGGTTTTTTCACAGCACAAGGAAATAACAGCAGAGTGGGTGCACATCCAGGGAATGCAAAATAACCCTGGGTTATATATAGTTTAGACATAAATTTGTCTCTAAGATGGGAGGCAAGGCTCAGTGTTTCAACCCCAGGGAACATTTCCTCAAAGACTGTAAGAGAAATAGGAATAGGAGAGATTCATAAGAAAAAGACTAAAGGACAAAGGAAAGAAAAATCAGGTTAGGAGGAGGCTAACAACGGGACTTAACATTGATTTTGTGGGGCATTCAGGATGGTCTTTGTGGGAGAAGGAACAGGCCATCTGTCACCATGGCAGACTGAAGCCTATAGCCTGGTTTGTGGTCAAATTATTTACCATGCCTGACTCGAAACCAAATAAGCTCCCATGGACTTCAATGGCAATCTATGGGCTGCATATTACAGAAACAGCAGGTCTTGATCAATGGATCTGCTTTTTCTGGAATAAACATCTGGTCTTCATGCAGAGTCAGTGGAGAGCCTGAGAGTGTGAAGCACTGGCCAATCAGCCTTCTCAAATGTTCACTATGTCAGAATACACATCTATGGTCAGAATACACATCCAGGATCACCCAAGAAGCTTTGTTAGAGAGCTGAGGGTTAAAAGGCTCCCTGCAGCAGCATATTTCTTCTTACTCAGTCTCTCCTAGCAGTCTTTTTGTAACATTCATGGATTTTTTTTAATCATAATTTTTCTACTAAACATGTTTTCTAAGCTTTCACAGAAACAAGGAAGAGCAAAAATAGAGAGGACTACGAGTGGAGAAAGAGGCCTTATGCAGATGATGAGAAAAGCAAAATAGAGCCACCAAAATATTTTCATCTCTTACGTTCATATCTAGTGCTACTTGCAACAAGCTGCTGGACTGGAATCAACTGAGACAAAGCCAGCTGAAATTGGTGCCACAAGCCACACACAGGAATTCTGGCATGTCCTGTGCTCCCCAGAGCACTTTGAGCAAATACAAACTTGGACAGATTGCAGAGATGCTGTAAAGTCAGCAATCACTTTTGATACTTGGCGCTTTCTGGCTCAGTCCCTATGAACCCCATTGCTGTTATATTCCGTCCATCCCTTCTCCATGTTGTTCCCAGGAAATTCCAATTTGAGTGGTCACAGTAAAAGGCATTACTGTCAAATTCCTCTCCTTACCGAATTCCTCCACGCTGAAGGAGTGCTCCACATGGGATGAGAAGCTCTTCTGCACAACTATTTTGTAGAAGCCTTGGATGGGATCCGAGGTGAGGGGGAAGGAGAGTTGTGTAAAGCCTGTTTCTAGTTCCACCCCTTGCCACTGGTACACACGGTTCCTCTGGGGATCCTGCAGGTGAGGGTAACAGGCACAAGACAGTACAGGAGAGCTCCAGGGACAGAGCAGTGCAGTGCCCAGTGCATGCACATCCCAGCTGGGAAATACTTATCTAGAATTATTTAACAATCTGTGAGGTTCTGAAAGTACTTACCTGCCAATTCTGCATAACTTGCATGCAAGAAAGCTTTTAAACACTTTTGTGTTGTCTTCCCCTCAGCTGTACCTGCAAAGGATGGGGCCAGGAAGCTAGGCAAGACAGACTGGCAGGGTAACAGAAGGGAACAGAACTGGTATCAGAAGTGAAACACATGGAGAAAAGGGGGAAGTTTCAGCTTCCTTGACTGACAATACAGCATGCAAAAGTTGTGTTTTTCCCCTGGCTGGAATGAAGACTGCTGAAGTATCAGTATGCAATCTGCTGAGGAATCAGACACCTGACTTATCTATGGGACTGAGAAATGTACATGTATAAGAGTCCTAAGCCAGTGACTGGGTGGGGGAATGGTGACAGGAACAGAGGAAATTATACTTCCACATACAGACATCCAGCTGAGAGCCCTCCCTTGTTTCTCCATGCTCCTAATGCTGGAGCTGAAGTCTCACCACTACTACCACATTTGTGTATTGCTCATTATTAACTGACATCAATTATTAATTCACTCAGTCCCAAATTTCTTGTAGAAGTCACTGAAACAGCACAGTGGTTCTGCATAGTTTAATGCATCCTTGTGCCTTGGCTGTCACCAAAAGCTTATTTATTCTAGATAGGTGTGTGACTCAAGGTATGTGACTACGTGCATTTACTTCCTTGAGATATTATCTCAGGGCTTAGGGAAAATGGAGATGTGAACAACATTCTCCTAGCTGGAGGTCATCATTCAGGGGGGAGAAGAGGGGGCCATGTTCCCAAGAAGCCACCTGGGAGGGTGGCACAGTCAGTAAAATGCATCCCATAGCTCTGACCAAATCCTCTTCATCACCACATTTCAACCCTGCTGACAAGCTCATCACTTATTGTGAGGGACACCACTGGGCTTCCTCAGAAGAGGAGTTCAAGAAAATGTTTACAATGAATGCTTACATTTCAAGCTGGGCTTGTGAACTTGTTGCCATTCCTGTGATGTATTTATAAGGAAGCCCTGAAAACCAGTTTGTTTTCTTCCTCAGAAAGGTGCTCTAATTTTTTTTAAAAATTACACTAAAAATAGGTCAGGATAATAGTTCACAAGTAGCAGACTCAAACTAACTTCTGCCTTTGTACTTTGTAACGTAAATTAGTGACATCCAGGGTGTGGATTGATGGACATTTATTTCCTTAGAAGTGCTGACGCTTAGGCTGTTACCTTTCTTCACTCCTGACACTCTTTCCTTTGGTCCTGTCCAAATTTCATGCAATCATGTGGTAAAGGGCACTGACAGGTCTGATCTGGCTGAAGAAAGTACTCTAGAGTAATCCAGTGAATTTTCTGCCCCAGGAGTTTCCCGCTGTACAAGAGTGCCTTGTAGACAGTTGTGAAATCCAAACAAAGGGCAGTACTGGGCTGAGAAGGAGGGAGAGGGGATGAGGAAGGGAGAGAGAATGGTGAAGATGAAGGACAAGGCCTACATAAACTGGCTTAAACAGCACAGACAAACACCATGCTTTACAGACTAGAGCTGAAAACACAGATGGCCTTCTATGGGTTTAAAAGTGAAGGCTTTCATGACATTGACACATACACACAAAGGTTATTGAATTATTCAGCTTGTTAGGCCAGGACATATTTCTGGAAGATGTATTTGTTCTTGCTCCTTTAAATGCTCCTTGTTCATTACATTTCTGTGCTCAGTAAAGTATCATTTTTTGAAAGGGAAGGGACCCCATGGGACAGCCCTATCAAAAGGTGGTTCAGCCTGCTAATCCACCCCTCCCACTCTCTTCCTCTTCTTTCTCCAATATTCACAGATCATCAGTGGCCCACCAGCTCTGCAACTCTTTTTTGGAAGTTTGTTGATGGGAAAGGAGAATGACAGCACTCTGAAAAGGGGATACAAAAAAGCAGCACAGCCTGGTTTTGGCCTACCTTATGCCTCCTCTGTTGTAAGGACTCCAGCTCTAGACAGAGATGGTGCAGAATGGAGACAGCAACCCCATGCAGCAAGCAACAGTAAAAGGACTGACTACAAGGATTCATTAATTGCATAAACTAAAATAAATCGTGTGCACACTAATTTCAGGGTCTGTCCATGAGCCCTCATCATAAGTTTTTTCAAAAGAAGATATCCCAAATAATAATTGTAAATCTTGTGTTCTCATCTGAAAAAGTGAGAGCTTGAATCATTGAAACATCCTTCCTATATCTTTTGCCTGCCACTGAAGTTCAACCATTAAAAAAAAAAGCCAGACCAAAAAAAAACCCCAAAAAACATGCTTGGGAGGACAGGGGATGTCTGTACCTAAATTTATTTCTTTGGTTTTGATAGCTTATTTAACTCTGCTCTCTAATTTCAACCACACTTGGCAGACAGAGACCCATTATTGATTGGGAAGAGGCATAAGACATTTTGATGACCTCTAGCCAAGTGTAGTTCTGTTCACAGCATGGCTTGTAATTGTTAATTAGTTTTCTCCACAGCTCATTCTGTGATCAAAGAAACATTATTGGAATTTATTTTGATTCCCAACTACTCAGCCTTCCTTTTTAAAGGGAAAAGGTCACAGGCCTGTAATTTTTCCCTTGCCCTTCAACCTGAAAACACCACTGCTGGGGACTGGTAGCTCTGTGCCTGCACATTCTTCTACAAATAATAATATAATTATCCACTCACCTGAACATAGACAAAGGGAAACTGTGGGGAAAGAGCAAAAGAAAATCAATGTTAGAAATATTAATCACAGGGGAGTAATTTCCAGATTTGGACTGAAGTGCAGAAGAACAAACTTCTAGGAAGTCCTTTATGTTGTTCCCTTTCTGTACTCGCTCTTTTTCCTTGGTTCTTGATGGCTAATGGAATCTTTTCTATAATATTTTAGGGCCCTGACCTTTGTCTTACCACTGTATGAAGATGTGATGAAGCACAACTTTCAAAGGACTTGTCTGCATGAGGAACTGATTGTTAAATAACACAAAAGGTGGGCTTGCACCTCTGACCAGTTCCATAAAACCAAGTTCTTGTCATGCTGCTCTCTAAGTGTGGGATCACACCCACTGCCAGAAACAACTGCACACTTGTCATTACCCATGGAAACTTGTCCCACACGTTTTTTTCAGGAATTAGATCCCTGCCCACATGCTTAGCCACATACATTGATTTGCAAATCTGGCTTTAAACTACTATATGCTTCTGAAAAGGGGGATTTTTTTTTTCCAGCCATTAGAAACAGGTGGAATGTATCCTAGGATAGAACAGGGAACAGGTAAAGCATGGTGTGAGAGAGCATATGCTTTAAAGGCTGTCTTCAGTGGTTCGGGGTGATGACAACAATGGTGTTAATTTAAGAATTAAATGTCCTGGCTAACAACGAGGAATTAAGGCTCTACCTTCTCATTCAGTGGGTAGAAGTCTTTGTCCAGAGAGACGATCCGAAACTGAACTGAAGAGTGCAACAGAAAAAAAGGAAATTCCACTGTTAAATTTGTAGCCGTCACCAGGAAATGATAATGTTTCAATCATTTATAACTCAAATTCATTCCACAGATCAACAGGCTCTGAACTGAGATCTCTAAGTAATAGAAGCAATTACTTCAAGCTCTTTCTCTTGCAGATAGTGAGGGACAGATAAATTTAGAAGGATAATCAGGTCTTGGCTGAATTGAATTAACTCTTGGGAGTGCTTGTCCTGCTTTGTTGATTCTGGTGCAGCCAAGGGAGTCTATGCTTTGCAGTCATCCCAGTTTTGTGCCTCTACTTGAATAGAATGAGTTGGAGCTTGTGTCTACATCTGGTGAGATGCTATGCCTGGAGAATGAGGATTAGGAATAATGAAAGTGCTGTGAACTAGACCTCAGCTGACAGAAATAAGATTTACTTAGATTCCCCCATGAAGAAACCTGAAAACTTCAACACAAGTACGACACCACTGTAGAATGGAGCCCTTAAGATGTTTTGCTGTCAGAGTCAATACCAGCCCAATTCCTGGTACCTGTCTGTCCGGGCTTGTACATGGGTTTGTCTGTCTGGATGAAGACCAAGCTTTCGGAATTCTTGACCAGCACTGACTTGCGGCTCTTGAAGTGCAGTGTGTCCCCTGTCACCGTCACAGTGAGAAACGCCACTGATGTGCTATTGGATTTTGGAAGCTAAGGAGAATGAAGAGTATAACTGCTTTATTGATTCACCCCACTGCACTGAGCATTGAAGGAAGAAGTGCTAGCTGGGTCAGAAAGTTCCCTAAAGGGACAAAAAAGACTCAGTGCACGGAGCAAAAAAAAATATTGCCTTGCTTAATTTATATACTTCTCTTAAAGAAATACTGAACCTGATCTTATTCGGTCACACAATTTATCAAAAATAAAATTAACCTAGATTCATTAATTAGGGTATGGAACCTGTTGCTTACATTACTCACAAATCAACCTTCTGCAGTAAAAAACTCGGAATATGCTCCAGAAGCAGCCATATGACTTCATGGACCTCACTGTCTTTAACAAGCCCCCAGCGTCTACAGTTTTCAGTCCACACTGGTATGTTTCATCTCAGGCTTACATATATCAAACAACCATGGGGCACATTCTGTCAGCCAAAGTTGCAAAAACTTCTCTGACATGCATGCAGAGAAGTATCATGTGGGACACAGAATTTGGTAACGGGGGAAAATTAGTCCTCGTAAGACTACCACAGTCAATCATCCCCATGGAGTTAATTCTTTTGTCCGATGTAGCTTAGGGGTCTCTGATTGCAGTGTGTCTTATTTCTAATTTCTGGACTGTTTGGATCTACTATGCCACATCAATAAACACAAAAGACCATCCCACAAGGACGAGATACTCACAGAGAAAGGGATGCAGGTGAACATGTCTTTCTCTGACACCACATCATCAATCAGGCTCCTGTTCTCCCCTAGGTACTCGAGTGTGGTACTCAGCGTCACAGACTCGTTCAGGTAGGTCAGCTGAACGCAGACTTTCTCATGAGAATTTGTGTGGATCAGAAAGGGCACTAGCACCATGTACTGCCTGTGAAGGGAGGGAAGCAAGAAAGATCAGAAATGTGAAACACTTTTAAGGCAACAGTATTACGTGAAGGGAATTTAACAAATCAGCATGCCTAATCCATTGCCATCCCTGAGAATTGCAGTGCATATAACATGAGCATTCATTTTATTTTGGGGTTATACATATTAAACGGTCTAACTAATTAGCCTAAAAGCAGGAAAATGCTTGCAGTAGAAAGAACAATTTCTATGCTAATGGGGAGTGCTTCACAAAGGATGTTTTGTTTGGCTTCACAGCAGGGAGTAAGGATGGTTTGAAAGGTTTCAGGCTGTTAATTGAATTTTGTATATCCCACAATCTCCTTTTGAGACTCAAAGGCATTAACTAAAAACAGCTGAGGAAAAAACCCACCCACTTGTCTGACTCCTCCAGTCTTTGCCTATCCAGGTTTCCAAATCCTTCATATGCTGAGCAAACATGTGAGTGCTTGCAGTTTGGGACCTTACTAAGATGAGCACACAAAGGATTTTAGGGTGTAGTGTTTTATTGCACCCCAAGTGTACTTGCATCTTCAAAGAGCTTTTGAGAAAGGACCCTCACAGAAGACCCTTAAACTAAGCTGCCATTCAATAAAAGGGATCATTTTACTAATAAATCAAATTATTAATTCTGTCATGGATTAATTGGTTGAAAGATAGGACAGAAGGGATAGGAACCAGTGCAAACCTCCACAGTTTGTGCTGAGACCCCTATTCTTCAGTACATACCTAGATGTTCTTGAAAGTACATTTTTCTCCTAATTGTGCAGGATAAGAAAATTCTAAAAATTGACTTAGATATTTGTGGAAAAGATTTTTATATGATAGAACTGAGTAGCTAAAATAGCAAATGAACTGTTCATAAAGGGAAAATAATAAGTGAGCTCCTACCACTCAAACTTGAGCACTGTTGGTCAGCCTTGGAAAATTCTCAATCAGTAATAAGTAACAAACAGGCTGTCAAGAAGTGTTCAGAAAAGAATAGAGGACAAATACAGATGCATCCATCCAGAGCTACATTTTTGCCTGGGCTCTGAGTTTTCTGGGGAGTCCTAAAGCTGTAGTGGAGGCAGTGGGATCCCAGCAGCCTCCTGCATTTCCTTCACTATGAGGCAGCACTGTGGTGAAATGTAGTTGCCTGCTGGCAACGCTGCTCAGTCAGCACTGCTGCAGAAGCTGTGAAAGGAGGGAACCCCAGCCTCCCAGAGACTGAGTTACAACTTGTGACTCTCTGCTTTCTCCAGCATTTCCTTTCTTCCACAACCTTCTTACCATGGCTTCAGCCCATGCTGCTTCCCCTAATGCCATTCCCCCTGTCCCCTGTCAGTGGCACTGGCAATGTGACAATGACATCCAGTCTACAGAAAGGACAGCATGACCTAGTTCGTGGGGAATTTGGCCTCATTTCTCTTCCTGTTCACTGTTCTGCTGAAATTTTGGCCAACTTGCAGAGCTTCCCCTTAGGTTGGCTTCCCTGCCTTTGAAACAAATATATAAACCATGCTGTTTATAGACCTCTCTTTAGGTGTTTGGGCATGTGTTGTTTAGAAGAGACAGAAGAATTAAATTACCATGAGTGTTTTAAACAACTGTGGTCGCAAACCCCATGTATACACATTCCGGGACAGAAAGCATCTGGGATGACAAAAGAGACCTCAGCATGCAAGGAGATGCTCTGATGGGAGAGGCAGTGACTCCAACAGAGGCACACATCAAGGAAGAATAGGAGACCCTAGAGATGGTGGCTGAAGCAAAAATGGTGAGTTTGTCTATACAAAGAAGGTAATACTGTAGCTTGAGGTGGAATGATGTCTGTCTGTGTATTGACTCTCAGCTACTTACTAGAACAAGCACCCAGCCAAAGAAGGCAGTGAACTTCATCAGCCTAAATACATACCTGCCAATTCTAATGTCATTATGGCCTCACACTTAGGACCAAACACAGAGTACTCCCAAGTATGTCCACTGCATTGTAAAACATCTTACATGTACAGCCAGAGCAGGAGAGCAATACCTTTGGGTGCATTCTTCCAAAATCATTGAAGTTTTGGTTACAAAGGACCTCCGGATATCTCAAGCCCACCTTCCCTTCTGGAACAGGACTTTTGCAAAGGACACCATAGATGAAGTTTCTACCATCTAGCATGTTCCAGTGCTGCACTAACTTGATTAATATGTTTTTTTTTGTAATGTGCAGTCTGAGCCTTAATTGTGTCTCCTGCCCAGCTGGTCACCTCTTAAACAGAAATAGCAGCAGCTATTTCTGCCCAAATAAGTGATACCCATACTTGCACAGGGCACAGTAAGCATGTCTTGGTTGGAAGTTTAATTTTTGTCTTCAGTTCAAGGGTTGCTTCCATTCTGTGTTTTATACAGCATCTGATCTATCCTGCACCCACAGCAAAACCACTACCCTTATGCAACCTAGCAGTTCACTGCTCAGAGCTACCTCCCTACTGGGCTCCTGTCTTCCTTCTGGGGACCCCAACAACACCCCTCTCTCTCCCATCTCTCAGCCTTTCTCTGTTCTTCCCTCCCAGAACGGGGCTCAGTTAAGGGACAAAAAGAGGCCTACAAGAAAGATGGAGAGAGACTATTGCCAAGGGACAGGACAAAGGGGAAAGGTTTCAAACTGAAAAAGAGTAAATTTTGATTAGATAGTAAGAAAGAGAGTAAGTTTAGATTAGGTAGAAAATTTCTTCACTGTGAGGGTGGTGAGACACTGGCACAGATTGCCCAGTCAAGCTGTGGATACCCCATCTTCAGATGCTTAAAGCCAGGTTGAATGGAACTCTGAGCACCTTGTCTAGAGAAAGGTGTCCCTGCCCATGGCAGGGGGTTTGGAACTGAGTGATCTTTAAGGTCTCTTCCAGCCCAGGCCATTCTATGATTCTATGTTGTCCATAGGTCTGAGCAGTATGGTTTCATTCCCTTTCCCTCTGATGTTGGGCAAGAATGAATTAAGATTACTTAGTTACATCAGTTACTGTAGGGGGACCAGAGAGCTCTGCCTTACCCCAAAGCCGACTTGCCTGGCTGATCTGCCCCAGAAGCACCCAAACAGGGCAGACAAATGAGGGACTGATGGTACAGCGTGAGTCAAAGGTCCTTCAGGCTGACCCAGTTACAGCTTTACCTCTGACCCCACAGCACGGGGCAGCAGCAGTGCTGCAGCTTCTGCCAGTGCTGTGGCAGTACTCGTGGGCATGAAATCTCTGCAGCAAGCATTACTGCACCTGTGCTGGACAGAGCTGTGCCTCTGTCAGCACAGCAAGAGAAACCCAGCCAAGCTCTGAAGAGGGAGGCTGCTCCCACCTGGACAAGAGGCTTCAGAGCAGCACAGTCTGGTGGGCAAGGCTGGGGTGGGCATTCCAGGCTGCAGCCTGCCCGTGCCATGCCGGGCTGCCCCTCTCTCGGGCACGGTTCGAGCTCAAGCTGCAGCCGTGCTGCTGGGCCGCAGAGCCTGGCGCGGCCGGCCAGGGAGGGCGCTGGCACCGGCCTTCGCGCCTCAGGAAGAGAATCTAGGTCACAGATCTCTCTGAGAACAAGCACGTCTGAGGCTGCCAAGGGAAACAAACTGGCAGCAGAAAGGGGAGCAAACTGGCTTGAAAAGCAACAGGAGAATGGGGAGAAGTAACTCAGTGATTGAAACGAGGATACTCTGAGAAAGGTAAGAACCTGGATCCCGGCATCATGCCCACAACATCCCAGGCCCTGAGAGGTTTCAAGGCAGAAACATACTTGTGCAAAAATGTTGTGAAGATCCAGGTTTGGACTATCAGGCAGCTGCAAGGCAGGACTGTGGGCACTGTGGGCAGAGACTGGGGAGAGGATGGAAGGAATACACTGGCAGAGATAGTGGTGGGGAGGGGTCCCAGGTCTCGACACCTGGGGGATTACAGGATGGGAGTGGGGAGCACTGTCAGAGCTGTGCAGGAAACTCAGGGCTTGGTTATTAGTGGGAAGGAAACTGCAGGAAAAAGGGAGCACTTAGACATCCCTCCCCCCACCCCCGCACATGTAGCTTACGGTTCTGTGTTGAGAGGAGTATTTCCAGGAAGGAAGAAGAGAAGAAGGAGGAAGATGTTTGGTTTGCTGGGCAGCTTGTCCTTCCCCATGGTGCAGAGCAGGTCGTGCTGAGCCAAGCAGAGCTGCTGTTTTCCTGCACCTTGTAATTCTCCTGCACTCCGTGCTCTGTCAGCCTCTTTATAAGAGCTCTCTGCAAACAGCCCAGGGGCTGGAGGAGATAAGGGCTGGGGGCCAGGGCCCATCCGGAAACAGGGAGAGGCAGCAAGGAGGAGCTGGAACAGAGGGACAGTATTTGGCCAGAGACTCTGCAAGTGGGGGAAGGGTATTTATTTGGGTAATGTTTATATTAGAAATCTTTGAATGATTCATACCCTGTTTTCCTTAACCCATCAGAAATCCGCAGTGTTGGAGATATGAACTGTGTTCGGCACATGGTAATATTCCCTGTGGGCAGCATCCAATCACAGCAATCTGATTTAAATTTCCACAATATTTCCTTCACAGTTCCTCTTCATCAGCACTATAAAAGATACTGTTTTGAGTTGGAATGACTGACACAGAAGATGAAATTAATAAGTTAATACAGGCCACCATGAATATTGATAAATTCCAGTCACAGCGTGCCCCATTCTGCAAAGTTTTCTCTGAGTCTTACAGTCCTCACTGCTTTGCCTGGCAAAGATGACACAAAAATTTGATGTGTCCTACCCATCCAAGTTTATGACCACTATAGAAAACACATTTTCCTTTGAAAACAAAGTAAGATATTGAGCTCTGTAGTTTACATCACTTTCACCCAATCCTGTTATAGTTTCCTCTGATTTCTTTTCAGTTTCTATTTTTTAGCTTTGTAGGTGACTGCCAATTGTCCAAAAGCCGAGTGGCTCACTGCTGACTGCAACTGGAGGAAGAAAAGGCATATGTGTTTGGTTGTAAATACTCTTTGTACTATCACAACAGTAGTGCATGTGGGAATCCTTGTCTGCCCCAGAAGTCTTAAGAAATTTTGGAACCTCTGCCACCAAAGATAAATAATCCCAAGAAAGACATTTGTTTCTCTAGTATGATCCTGTTAAGTCTACTCAAGGACTGTAGCACAACGATTGACTCTCAAGGCCAAAGCCAAGCAACAAAGTGAACTTTAACTTTTGGCTTTGAAGAACAGGCATGTGTGAAAAGAAAAAAACTGTGGAAACATTTCTTGAAGATGCTGGTATCATACCTAAGCTGGTCCATGCACTTTCACCTAAGAACTCCTGCTGGAAACCAGCAACTCTAGCAAAGGAATGTCTCTCCTTAATGCCTGTATCAGCTTTGTGTGGTGACAGATGAGAAAAAACCCACTGTAAAACCCAAGACTTGTATGAACAGTTCCAGTTAACAAATTGTATTAGCTGTTCAACTAAAGACAGAAAAAATACTACAGAAAAAAACCCCAAACATCAGTATTGTTATTTTAAAGGAAATCAAAATTATTATATTAGTTTTCCCAGCCTGAGAAAAAGCAAAAGCAAACAAACCCAAAGCAATTTATTTCATATGACAAAAAAGTATGACAGGAAAAAGTACTTAGATAAATCAACAGGAATAATAGCAACACCCAAAGACATAAAAATGGGTTTCTCATTGTATAGGAGACAAAATACTTCACAGACCACAGTGAAGTGAAGGTCATCTATTAAAAAACCTCAGACAATATGAACATTTTACAAGTTGTACCAAGCAGGAACAGGAAGATACACAATGAAATGAAATACCATAAAATAGCTTCATCAGCTGAACTTCAAATGAAACTGGAAATGTCAGAATGAATAAAGATAATCCACTTTAGTTGCTTGTTGAATAATTTGACCTGAGAGAAGGACCTGACAGCAGATGAACTGCCTTTCCCAGATGTGGACAGCTGGGCTGTCAAATATAACTCATATTTCTGAGGTGTCATGTGAACAAATGACTAAATTCAGGCATGGCAAAACCACCAATGAATTATTTTCATTTTAATGCACTTTGTAGTTTAAATTGAAAACCAGATTGGTAACTGAATTTTATAAATGGTCCTGTGACCATATTTTGTGTGATGTGAGGTGGCCATCTGTAGGGTAAGCCACATACAAGGCATATAGAGGTTTTCTGTCTTTCTCTGCTATGCTATAACAAACATCCACAGTATGTATAAATTTGGTCTTGCCTTAGAAGAAATTTATATTGTATGCTGCAAAAAAGGTTGTAAATAAGGTTGTTTACCCTCAGGCATGAGAAATCTACAGTGTGTGTGTTTGATACTTACAGTACACAGCACACACAGAGTAGAATAAATGGCTGAAATCTCATTATAAAATCCATCCAGGGTAACTAGTGAACGATCCCTAATAATTTTAAAATGTGTAAATAGGAAACTGCTCACATGTTAGCAGATATTTTTGGATATTATAGAGAATTGAAGATAAACCCTGATGCAGTAACAAATTACAAGTTATTTTAATTTATGATTTTGTACTATTCAGAATTTTGCCAAGGAAGGGGGTAGAAAAATCCAAAACATTTATAAATGTGTCTCTGACCAGCACTCAGGACAGTCAACTATGCTTTTTTTTGAGTCATATGACTCTTCAGATAAAAATTTACCATATAAAAAATATATTAAATGCATATAGACTTTCTGTTTAGCTTTGGCTATTAAGTTATTGTTTGGACTACCTCTCTCCTCAGGTACAAGCATCTCATGAAGGTTCTCCTGCTGGCCCTGAGGTTATGTTCAAGTCAGGCTGAACAGTGTTGGAGCCAGGTTTTCCTCAGAGGTGCACAGTGGTAGGAGCAAAGGTAAATAGGCCAAGATTCATACAGAGAAACAATGAGCACATGGAAGGAAAAAAAGTGTTTCTCCCAAGGGCTATGTAACAACAGAACAGATGCCATGAGGCATCCATCCCCAGAGACCATCCACACTTCATAGAACAAGGCCACGAGCAGAAGTGCCAGTGTAGAAAAAACCTATACTCATAGTGTGTAGGCATTTCAGAGATTTCTCCCATTTAGATTTAAAGTTCACTTAGCTATAAAGCAGTAGAACTCCAAATCACTTCCTCCCTCTGGCAGGCTGCTCGAAGAAGGTGGCAGAAGGCTGTGCCAATGCCACTTCCCTGTACACATGGTGCACCCACCTGGTGTAGCACCCACCTGCTGCAGAGGTGTGCAGGGACTCTCGCTCCTCTCCTGTCTCACAGAGCCTTCTGTGTGAGCTGAGGTGGCCAAGGGGAAGGGCTTTGTGCTTAGCTGGGTTCCTGCCTTGCTGGGTAACATCATGCAAGGCCACTGGGCTCTCTCTGTGCTAAGCCAAATGTTTGATACCCAAGACATGAGTTTTTTCCTGGTGCAGAGAGGAGCTGGGGCTCAACTGGTGTGTTTGTCCAGGCTTTTTGAGAGTGAGGATGCTGTAGGAAGGCCAAACAAGAAAGTCCTAGTGGAGCATGAGGCAAGGAAATCAGATATTGTCACGTTTAACTCTTTCCCCTGCACCTCTGCTTTGTTCTGTTGCAACTTGTTAGGCAGGACAGAACTGACATTTCAGTCAGGGGAAGGTGTGTGAGCCATGACAGTGTAACATAGCTGGAGAACACATTTATCAGGAACCTTTTTAACACAGTGTGCTGCTAGAGAGCCTGTCCTGGGAAAAGGACAAGCCATGGGCTCTGAAGAGAGAGCCAGCTGTGCATGCCACAGTCAATGCACAGGACTTCCCAGATGTGCTTTACCTTGCACACACCTTGGGGACACACCTTGCCTTGACAGCAAGGACAGTAAGGGTAACTGGTGGGACCTAGATCTTATCACTTCTAGAGAAGTGAAGTAGAAAACATCTGGCACAGTTATGCAATTGCTTCCAGTAATAACCCAGTCTTAGCCTCCCTATGGGCAGTGAGTCAAAGGGTAGGAGGCTGAAAAAATGTGTGAGGTTAGCACTCTAGCAGTGTGCACAGAGTTCTGCCGTAGCCAGTGGTGATTTTTATTCCCTTCACCTATGACTGTCTTGTTCATATGTCTTTCATCCCTCTCAAACAGGACTTTTAAGATCTCCCAGCTGCCAGGTTATATACACACAGTGTGACAACGTGGGGTCCAGAAGCCCTGCTGAAGTCATGTTCTTAAGGGAGATCCTGGTTTGCCCAGCAGGAGCAGTGGTGTGCCAGAAAGGAGATCAGTGTGCTGAGCTGCAGGAGTATCAGAAAGGGGGAGAGTGAGACATTCCCTTCAAGGAGGCTATTAGGTCCTGTATTCAATGTAATGCCTCACTTTTAGGATTTTTTTCAAAATGTCCTTTTGAGGGTGAAGAAAATCCTAAAAGTGAGGCATTACATTTTAAGTCTTCTTAACTAGGCCATAACATCAGCCTTTTGCAGATCCTTGAGTGTGGACTCCACTTGAGCAGCAAATCAATTCCCATGGTACAACTAAACTCTACGAAGAATTACCTAACACTAAAAAGAAGTAACCTTACAGAGCATTTCAGTCAAAGACACTATGACATGATTACACTTCATGAACACTTTTTTATCAATAATGTTTGCATTTCAGAACAGCTTTTTATGTACTTCTAGCAGAGCCATGCATGGACCCATAGGACATCCAGAGCAGGTACAAGGACACTGGCAGATACCCACAGTGAAGCTGGGAGTTTCCCATTTATTGTAGTGCTTCTGACTCAGTCCAATATCCTGCACAACAATTTCAGCTTTTTAAAACTGAGATGTGCAATACCAAGCACAGTAGGCCAGTGCATGTGCCTTTGAGTTGGCAGCAGTATCGTACCCCTAGCAGCTCTTGGGACAGTGGGCGTGATTTTATCATGTTTGGACAACACAGTTTGCTTAGTGTGTTTGTCTAAAAAATTACAGTAATTCTACCTTCTGAGGCCTGGAACACTCTCCAGATCCCTGGCACCTCAGGATTATCAGATGACAGAGGAAGAAATGACATTCAGTCTGGTGGGTGTCCCTGGCTTGTTCAGCCCACAATTAATATACTTGCTTCAGTTTCAGGTGTGTGGTAAAAAACCTAGACTGAAACATGACACCAAGGTTCCAGACATCCTGGAGGTGTTGGAATGTGTTTTAAAAATCTTGCTGTTCCCTGTGGGAGTGGAAGCCAGGGAGACATGATCTAGATGTAAAAATCTGGAGGGAGAGTGTGAGCATGGGATATTTATTAGATCTGACTGCAACCAGCAATTATCTGTTTGAGTTGAAGGATAAAATTGGGTAACGAACATTTCATTTTCAGCATGCAAAGGAAGAGAATGCAGTGGGAAATGAGCATTTGATATTTTAATAGTCAGGTTTGACCTAGCAGGAAGATAAGATTTCAAAAGTATGATAAAAATGCACTTTATTTTTTTTTCTCCAGGACCTTGTTTCTTCCCAGGAAACTATGTTCAGCAGAACAGAATAACATATTTGGCCAGACCTGAGGGGATTTTTATGAGTTCCATGTGAGATGCTGAAGCCTTAACTTAATTGGCCTTACATTCCTCAGGAATATATACACCCCGTATCCAAATCCACTCAGTCTGCTCTCCTTTTCAACCTTGTTACCGTAACTATTGATTTCTCTTGCTGTAGTCCAGCCTGAAGCTCATGTAAATCAAGTCAGTTGCTACAATCTGGGCTGTGTCAGGAATGCAAAATTCACAGCCTTTCTTGTTTTTCTCCTTTTCCTCCTACTGCCAGTGATGTTTTAATTTTGACATTCTGCATGGAGATCAGAAATGTATCCAAAGCAGTTTCATGTCCCACAAATTTCTTGTCTGTGGAACTTAAGAAAGTGTCTTTTTATAACATCAGTATCATGCATATCCCACACGGCAAGCCCTGCGGGGTTCTGAAAATCAAATTTTTTAGTGCACTTTGAAAAAAAAATGTTTTGGTGAGAGGAATATCCTCCATTGGCCTGATTAATTTTCACCGGGAAAAAAAATGCAAGCCCGCGTGCAGCTATTATCAAATCTCCTGGTGGAATGGATCCTGGGTGAAACACATCCTAGCCCTCGGCTGGATGTTAGCCCTCGGCACCTGAGCAGTTTGCACTTAAATTCCTGCTGGGGGCCCTGCTCGGAGGGTCCCGTTGTCCCCCGGCTGCACGCCCGGTGCCCTCCAGGCTCCGTGCCCTCTCCCGGGATGCGGGAGAGCGGAGCGAGCACTGGGAGCCCTGCAGGATGGGCCAGGGCTGCCGGCGCCGCTCCTGCCCCCGGGAAAGAGGAGCAGCATCCGTGTTTCTTTCCCCAGCCCTCCCGATGCTGCTCTGCTAGTGTGTTAGTGTTTGCAGGAACCACCACAACTCCAAGCGTGATGAGGTAGGGGATGAGCAGAGGTGCGGGTAAACGGGGAGGCTCGCTGCTGGTGGCGCTTACCATGATCCATCCTGGACTGGTTTGGTCGAACTCTGGTTGGACTTGTGAACTGGAGGGCCTGACAGGGTGAGATGGAGGATGTGGGTCCAGGCACTCACAGGTCCGGACTGCAAGCTGTCCCTTTCCTCACCCTGTTCCCTGCTGGGCATCACTCTGTGATGTCCACACCTAAACCCTTACTCTTTTGCCACAGGGGCAAAGGCAGTGCTGTCTCAGGCCTGGGGAAAGGTGAGGGGCTGTCCAGCAGCTATGAGCAGTGGGTGCCATCTCTGGATGTGGGGCACTGAACACCATGCGTATTGCAGTAGTGGCCAGTGGTTATCTGCTGTAGCTGAAGGACGAGCAAATGCTGCAGGCAGGGCAAGCATGTTCCTCTCCTCATCCTCCCTCAGCCAGAAGTCCTGACATGTGGACCATTATCAAAATGCCTGTTCTGTGACACTAAAAAAAAAGCCAATGACCAGTGTAAAAGAAGTTTATTGGCGGAAAGGTATACACGATTGTGCTACAGAGCTGGAGAGATGTGCTGTGAAAGGAAACAGAGAGTCAGACGCTAGCTCAATCAACGTCACAGAGTCCCACTGTGAGTCCTAGGTCCCACTGTGATGCAATGGCTCTTTCCAGGACTTCATGACAGAAGAAAATAGGGTGCTTGACCACTTGTTCAACATTTATGGTGCTCCTGAAGGTGAAAATCCAAAAGGAAATAACCTCAGTGAGAACCAATAGTTGCAGGTTACAAAACACATGCATTTTTTTCAAGATACAGGGTAGTCAGTTCTTTCTGTGTGAAACAGACAAAAGAAGGACCAAGGTCTCGCAGCAAGCTGTGCCTGGACTCCTGAGAAACTGCTCATGAGACAACAGCCACCAGAACTGCTGTGCTGAGCAGGATGCAGACCTGACCTCCTCTACAGCCAGGCAGCATTATACCCCTGACTAGTTAATACACTGTCTCCATGATTCATGTCACCTCGTGTTCTCCTCAGATAATGTATTTCCTGTCCCAGAAAAAGTTTCTCTTAGTCCATGTGAAAAACCCTGCTGGGGCCTGGGAAGCATAGACTCCAGAGGGAAGACTTTCAAGGACAGCCATAGGTAAATGGTTCTTTGGTACATATCTGTGCTTTTGAGGAAGCTTTGAAGGTATTTCCCAGCCTTTCCATTATTCTATACTTTGGTTTTCATTCTACATGCTAATCTCTTCCCATGAACAGCAACGTGGTCCCCACTTGGATTCCACCCGTGTCATGGGACAGGATCTGGCCAGTCTCAGCTCTCTGAGAAGCCTCATGGAGACTTCATTTCTTCAAGAATGGTTACTGTTCTACTCACTCTGCTTTTGCTGCTTTGTAGTTCACTTTCTTATCTGCCCATTTGTTTATTTACTGGCTTTCACTTACCTTTTTGAATCCTTAGTCAATTTCTGCAACAACCTCTTTGCAAGGTGATGAATATTGAGCAACAGCATACTCTTCTGGAGAGGAAGAATAGAAACGTTCTTGTTACCCTGGAGAACACTTGTTGTGCCTTTCCCTGGAGGTGGATATAACCTATGCATGCTTAAACTGGATATCCTTGAAATATCCTTTATTCTGGTGCACGTATTTTCATAACTTTCTAGTCATGCCTATTGATTGCATTGGGCATGAGACCAAGGTGAATAAAGTGAAATGAGTCTCTCCCCTGGCCCTAGATTCAGGTGCTGATGGAGTCCAGAGGAGTGCTGGTTGCAGCAGGGCTGTACATGCTCTCCCTTAAGGCACTGTTTCTGCTGTCCCTGCCCCTCCCCCACACTTCACACTGGTTAAAATCAAAAAGATACCTGTTTCATAGTAGTCATAGATCTGCACAGGTGCTGGCTTGGGGTGGGTCACTACAAAGTCCTGCTCAACTGAGAAAGTGATTTCTTTACTTTTCTTCTGTGAGATCTGGAATGGAAGGTCAGAGACCACATCAGTCTTTTTATTTGTACATCACCATCTAGAGGGACAAGGGTGGTAACTCACAGGTTGCATATTCCAAATCCCACTGATGCCACACCTACAGATATGGGACAGCCATTATCCAAACATGTGGAGAGTCCAAAGTGAAACTGAACTGAAAAGTTAATAGATTTTCTGTCCTGCTCATATCACTGGATTCTGTAATTATTACATATCCTGTTGCCAGAGGTGGGAAAATTGTCCAAAGGACTGAGTTTAATTTTCCAGGATCTCCCAGTAGTCAGGATGATAAAGTCCAGTATTTCAGTCCCTCCCATTTCAGACATGGACATTATGTGCCACCAAGAAACTGTGAATCAATTTACAGTGTCCATCACTGGAGTATTAGCTTCTGTTAGTTTTGCAGTGCCCTGAGCAAATTGTTTACTAAGTAAATTCTGATTCAGGAATCAGATTACAAGTAAAATTTTGCAATGATCTAATGTAAGAGAAACAAAGAAAATCTTTCCAGGGGAGAATGAAAGCAGTGTTTCCTGTCGTGTTGGAAAGACCGAGGTTTATAAGAAGCCTAGCAAAGAGGCATGCATGCACACAATAGAACCTCTTTTCTGATGTTTGTCTGCATTTTACTGAAAGGAGAAAGAATTTTGATTAATTTCAATGTGATTTTTTAAAAAACTTTTTTGATTTTTTTATTTGTTGGTAGGACAGGTGTCAGTTTGAAGCTGTTTGGAAGGTTGGGAAATTACAAGCAGTTTGGGAAGTAAGCAGCTTAGTGATAGAAAATTGTTGAGGAAGAGAACATGATAAATGCACCACATAGGGTATATCTATATTGTGGTTATACCTATTGCATGCTGTTTCCATCCTTTGTGAAAATCAAATAGACAGTGACCAGAACTTACATTTTGCAGATAAAGGAGGACATGATTTTTCTTGCTCTCTACTTGCATCACTGTTTGACTGTCAATGAGCTTTGAAACAAGAAAATGGAGATAAATATATTTGTAAAACGTTAAGAAACAAGTGCTGCCTCAGACCCTACTGCTGCATGTCTGTGGTATTCATTCTTCTCCTAGTCAAGTTTCAAGAGCTGGCAGTTGTCTTTTCTAGTCCAAATATTGCTGAATAGATTGAAAGGATGGACAAAAACCTACCACTTGACTCAGTTGGGTGTATGAGCTCCTTCCAAATGCACAGGTCACTGCGATTTACTTGGGGGATTCTGCCAGACTCTGGTATGATCTGAGATGTTTCCCACCCTTTCCCTACCTGGGCAGAGCCAGCTCCCAGTTGTAGCTGCCATCTGCTCAGGCTTGAGCTGAAACCCTTCCTAGTTTTAAATATAGGAGGTTCTGTGTGTTTGAAGCTCCCTGGAGGGCATTCCCTCCACCCAGTAATGAACAGTGCAGCCATGCAAACACCTCACAGGGTTTGTGGCTGAATGCTTCTTAACCATGCCTCTGGTAATTTTGGCTTGCTCCTCTAAGTTTACCTTATCCAGGGAAGACTTAACAGGAACAAAGCCAGAGAGCATCTTCACATCAATAATGATCATGTTGGAGCTGTTGCGTTTCCCTGTGTAACTGAAACAACAGAGGGCCCTGTCAGTGGTCTTTGGGGACACTGTGTCTTACAGGCTGATACCATCAGCATATTGATCAGCCTGTGGCTCTTGACTTCATAAGCTGAAGTGAAAACACACAGCAATGTTTTCTGTGTGCAGCTGGTTTGCTGGTGGCACATTACCTGCTTATGAGGACAATATCAAATTTTGCTGGTCTGTCCTGTGGGCAGGAAGCATTTGATGTCTGTACTGAAAGCAGAAATCCATAGGACCCCTCTGGAAGGTGAATGTTGTATCTCAATGCTGTCTGGAAGAGGAAAAAACCCTTTTGTTCAAGAATGCCAAAGATTTTCTTTGCATTCAAAAAAAAAACCAGACTTAGTGAACTTTTCTGGAAATGTTGCACTTGGTTTTATGTGGAAGATGCTTGCTTATATCAATGATGAACACATAAGACTTCTACTTTTTAACAGTGAAGGTCCTTGTACCGAGAGTCACCTCTCAGAAAGAAATCAGATGTTGATCAGAAAGGACTCTTTTTCCATGCCAGAACTCCCCAGGAACCAGAATGTGGAATGGGACAAAAAGTGTTTAAATGGTTTAGGAAAATCAAGCAATTAGGAAAAATAAAGAGGAGTCACTAGAAAATCATCAAAACAATGGCTATCTTGTATGCAAAATGTGAGACACAATGAAGAAGAAAGCAGACATTTACTTGCATAAATACGCATCCACTGCCATTCACTGTCAGGCTGTATTTCCCAGGGACCTCTGGAAGGGGAGTCTGTTGCACCAGGAGCCTGTTCTCATTGTTGACAAAAAATACTTTCTCAAAAGGCTTTTTGGAAGTGATCTTGACTCCATTTTGTGAAGCAGATTTGTGGGTGGCCTCACCATAAGCAGCAAGTGCTTGAAGGGCAATGACCGTGTCCTGAAGAAAAAGAAAATAAAAGAAAATTGGCTACACAGCATGACCAGTGCAGAGGAGATCAAAGTCACTGCTGCAAAACCCATCACAGTTGCTTCTTCCTGAATTTGTGTATAATTCTAGGGTTCCCATACAAAAGGAGACATTTCATTCTCTCATGTATGCTTTAGGGTAGGAGAATCTCTCTCCTGACACAAGGGTCTCAGAACATAAAATCTGAGAAGTGGAGTGCACTTCTAGAGTTTTTCATAATGGTGAAGCCTGTGTTTTCTGGGGAGCTACAGAACTCATGGGTCATCTGACAGATGGGACTTGGTGTTTTCTAGGCTTATCCCCGACACAAGTATCTATATTTATTGCTAGTCAAATTACTCTTTCTATAGTTAAGGAGAGGTTGGAGTGGGGAAGAAAGTATTTTGGTCTCCTAATGTAAAGGTTTGGTTTCTCTCAGAGACAGCAACTAGAAAAGAGAAACAGGACTAGGTAGTCAGAGCCCTGCTGGAACCCTGAAACAGTGCCCTGATTCCTAGGACTAGCTGTGGAGTGGAAGGCACTTTTGGCACCTGGGTAGAAGAGAAACCTCCATAGGGATTCTGCTGCCTGATGATCCACTGCACAATCCCTGAGGCCTTTGTGAGATCCTCTTTACTCCGGTTGGGTTTGCAGAGCAATGCCAACAACACATAACTGGTGATCTCAACATCAGCTGAAGGGGCATGGTCAAGGAAGGAGGGAGATTTGTCTGATGGAGACCTCTCCTCCTGCTCCCAGTGCTGTGAGCCATCTGAATAAACAAAGAGAGGAACCAATATTGATTACAGGTGTCACTGCTCTGTATTGCCTTGGAGCCTCACTTCATCCGGGTCTCTTCCTCAAAAGGACTCCCTGCACATCAATGAATGCACTGCAGATTAATTCCACAGATCGTTAATGTAGTTTGGTTCATGTGCCCACTCTCGCAATCTTGTCAAGGTTAGACCATCAGTAAGATCTGCTCCATCTTCCCATTTCCCAAGTTCCCCAAGTGACTGAAACTCACCAACTTCCTTTGCTGATTTCTGTAACTCTTCAAGGAATGATTCACATTTTTCTGCCTTGCCAGCTAAGCAGAAAGCATAGGCCATGAGTGCCTGAGTGTAAACTTCCCTGATACTCTTCTCAGATGCAGTCTCCAGACAAAAAATGGCATTTCGGATTACAGGGTACTTAAAAACAAAAAAGCATGTGGGTTTAATTCAGGACAGTAGTCTTCACCTGCTCAAAAATTTATTTCCTTTTCTTTAAACTTCACCTGCTCAAAAATTTATTTCCTTTAAACTTGTTCCTCATCCTGTCACTATCATAGCAATGAGAGTGGGACTTCAGCTTGTATAATGACTTCAGGAGAGAGAATACAGAATTATTCAAGGAGGGATTTCTCAGAAAACACCAAACATATCAAGTAGCTTTTAATGGTGTTCTTGACAAAGTTGGTCTGCAGATTTCACAGATAATTCCTTCTTCTTATCTCCATGATAATTATTTGCTCTGCATTTCTATAGTCAAGAGTTTGTTGTCTTGAACAAATCTAACGTAGTGGTTTCTATCCTCACTGACATTGGTGTCACTTTAATTCTGTGATGTACTAGGTTCACACCCACAAAAAAAGGTACAATTTGACTCCATGTCCCCAGAAAGGATATGAAAAAGTGGAGGTTAACTAATGCATTGAAGTCTAACATCTCCTCTGTAGTCACCTTCATACTGCCAAGTTTTTGAAAAGGACAGATCAGCTTTTGCTCTGAAAGACATTTGTTTTTCCAACATACCTTTTAGTTCCATTTGTAGATTTTATAGATTTACCTGCAACAACTTACTTTCTTGACTGGGCTGTCTTTGAAGCTAAGCCAAAGTGTGTGGGTTACTACCTGTTGTGTGTAGGTTTCTACCTGTCAAATCTATTTATTGGAAGCTAAAGGGTGTCACTGAATGCTTTGTGTCTCACAAATAGAAGATGTAATCCCACGGAGGTTTGTACAGTTTCTTCTCAAAGACTGGTGGTTTAAGAGGTGTAGAGATGGGGATTTTCTCTATCACTGCAACCAGTGTAGATACAGACCATGGTCACCTACTCTGGGAGCTCTCTCTCTCTCTTTCTCTCTCTTTACTACCTAGACAATTTAGCAGATGCTGGACCCAAGGCAACAACTGGGCACCAGTTCCATCTGAGTATCAGGCAAGTCTCCTTACCGAACTGGAGTGCCCAGCTTCCAGCATGGCAATGGTGGTGTAGGCAGAAAGAGACAGCTCGTCATCTACTCCTCCCTGAAAACAACATGGAGAGAGGAATAATCTGTCAATGCCACAGATGAGAGCCTTAGAATATCAATTGTCATGTCCCAGCTGAGACAGTATGGACAGTTCTGGAGGCAGCCCAAAGGGAAAGAAAGCATTCACATAGCTCTTGAATAGCTCACAAATCCAGAGAAGCCCTTTGCCATTAAATCCAAAAACATCACTCCTTCAAGCTTACAGTCCTGTAATCCTATCTCAGGTGCACATAAATATAAAGTAGGTGGACAAAATCTGACTGAGCTGAAACTACTAATTATAAGCTGTGGAGAATTAGCCCTTGGAAGAAGGCAGGCATTTGGAGCAAAATACAGTTTTTTGCAGTAATTGGAGAACATATTCGTAGTGAAAAAGTATAAATTTGACCAAGTAATGATTCTCTCCTACCTTCAAGGCATTGTTGAAGAGTGTCCCAACACTCCGGAAACAGCCATCTAGTTTCTGTTTGCTGGACAGCCACATCAGGGTTTGAGACTGGACACGCTCATCAATGTAGATGAAGTGACCAGCTTGTGCAAATGATCTGTACACAAAGGCAGTGAGCCTGCAAGGGAAAGATGGAGCTGTGAGATGAGCACTGGAAGAAACAGAAGAAATCAGCCCTCCCGTTCGTGCTGCTGAAGAGCATGAAGAGTTACAGCCAGCGTGTTGGTGGCTTGCTTTCTCTTTGTGTGCTCCTCAGAGAGAGAACAGCTAAAGGAGTAGTAGCTAGATGGGACACGGAGAGGATGTCCAGCACGCTCTGTGGCTGGTCCTGTCTGCAGAGCACTACAGTGCAATGGCTTTCATTTGAGACAGCAGGAGTATGAATCAGAAAGTCAGCTGGGTCTTTAGGGATCAACTTCTTTTCATGCACCCAGCCTGGCAGAGGATGGAGAAACATTTCCTTTAGTACTTCTCAAAGCCCAGTCCTAGACAGCTCTGTACATCTGATTCAGCCAGTAAAGTTGCCTCTTACATGCACCATAATAATTGAATGTAATTAATCTCTGAGCCAATTCTCAGTCACTCACCAGGTGTTCCCTTCCCTGTCTCTGGTGCCAAAGATGCTATAGGACCCATCAGGACGTTTGTATAACAGCTGCTTCTGGTAGCCTGCAAGAACATGGAAAAGGAGGTGTTCTTGGATGTAAAAGCACAACCCTATTTTGTTTGCTGACTTATTAGTCTGGGAAAGAATGGAAAGGCAATGTATATCTAACAAGCAGGAGGGGAGCTCTGAGGGATCCTATGAATGGAAGTATGGAACATCTTGTCTGGCAGAAACACTGAGAGAATAGGCAGAGCTCTATCAGCTCTGTGCTCCAACTAAACGTACAGGATCAGGATACATGCTGTGCCTGAGTGGGAAAAGAGAAGGGGACTGGAAGACAAAACCTCAAAAGAAACGTGGCAGTTGAATGTCAGCAAAAAGGCATAAAATAAGAAGATAAAGGAAAATAAAAAATGTCTTGTTCAGGGCAAATCCTTGGGTCTCTGGGCTGTGCTACATCTGTGATGCCATCTGCCAGGGTAGCCATGCTGTTGTTGCTGCTTCTGTTGTTCTGGACCTCAACAGGAATTTCAGCACACATTGTAAGGGAACCACGAAGCTCTCACCGCTCACTAAGTATCCAGTGGCCCTGGATTTGACCTCCCTGCTCAGCTGCCCTGTTTTGTTCAGATAGTCCAGGACGTAGATGTTGGGTGCAAAGAGGACCATGTTCTGCTCTCCACAGCCAAAGGGCATCTGGAGGAGCTGGTGCAGGTTCTGCATGGCAGTGCCCATGATGTCACCTGGGGAAGAGGAGATGAGAGTGGGGGGATCAGCACAATTCGTGGCCACTGAAATTACCAGTAATTTCCATCTCACAGCCAGAGTAATAAAAGCCTAGCAGGGGTTGGGAACCTTCTGAACAGAACTTTGTTCTGCTTTGCCTCCAACAAAGAATCCTTTCCCTGCCTCTCCTTACATAGTCTAAATTGCCCTTACCAGAAACACTCCTTGTTTAGCTGACACTTCAAGCAAATACTTCTTGTTGGAAATGAAAGGAACTTACAGGAAACTTCTGTTTCCAGAGGATGGAAGGGAATAGCCAGAGCTATTTATTGCAAACATTTATTGCAAAATTAACAGCTAATGCTGCAAAGGGACGTTGATAATGCAGGTGTATCACAGCCCACCTCTTAGTTGTTATTTCTAGGAAAGGTACCACAGACCTAGCAAGGAATTTCTGAAAAGAGCTTCTAAAAGTCACCAAGCAAGAATTTTATGGCTGGTGAGTCATGTAACCAAATCTATGTCCTGAAAAGACTGAATAGATTCTATTCTATTCTGGCATCTCTGATTTGTAGGTGGATGTGCAGAAAAATGCCATACTGGTATGAATCTGGCTGAGATCATAAGTCAGAACTGTGCTGCTGCTTCAGAGAAAGACTTTCAAATGAGCTAAATTTAAACAGAATAGTGAAGAGTGATGCAACTGATATTTAAACTTCATCTTGCTGATGCCGAGCATTGCTGGACAAGATGAGTCTCAGTCTCTTTTCTTAAAAGTTTTCCACACTAGGAGTGGAAATTCACATTTTGAATCCTGAAAGAGCTTTCATGTTACATTTTCTAGATCTTCTTTTTAAAAAATGTTTTATTAATTATATATTTACCAACAACAGAAAAGGAGGCTCTGGCTGATCCTTCCAAAACATTTGTAGGTAGCTCTAGAGATATATCTTGAATAACTACGTGATCTGTGGAGAAAAATAGTTGACATTTGTATAGGAATACTAATAGCAGTTGAAGTGCTCCTGTACAAAATTGCACACAAGTGACAGCAATAAAGTGAAACTCACAGCATTCACCAAGAACATGAAGAGAGAAGGGGACACAGAAAAATCAAAATTGTGAAGAAAGATCAAGTGGTGTAGTCAATGTCATTGCTCAATAGAAACCAGTAAAACAGGGTAGGGTTGGTGCTCACAGGTTGTAGTATCTGTGAACCTTGGGGATTCCCTCAGTGGTGCAGCTGGTAGAGTTGGTTGGTGAGAGTCAGAACAGATTTTTTGCCTCTTTCAGGTTAGTTGGGAAACCTTAGGTGCTGTTTGCTGTCAGCACTGAGATAGTGTGGAAAGGAACATTACATTCCCTCTCCCATTCCCACCAGAGGTGGAAAGCTGTAAGCTACAGGTATCTATGGAATAGAGGACAGCACTCAACATGAGTGAAAGAAACACAGGACATAATTTGCACAGAAAGGTTGTCTCCCTTTGAGAGCTCCATAGCAGCCTTCCTGCAGCATCTGAGCACATCTAAGCAAGGCACAGATGCTGCCTCAGTGATATGCACCAGACCACACAGGAATTTGGTAACAGGGAACTGAACTATTGGAATCATACTAGCTGTCCTATGGACAACTCTGGGAAAAAGGGAAGGGAAAGCATCAATAAACACTGCAGGAAAGAGTGCAGACTCCAAACTTCCTTTCAGTTCTTCTCAAGACAGTGATATAGAAGACCCTTACCTTCTGTACAAATTAAGAAGTTTTGAGTCTTTTCCCTTCTTATTCCTTCAGGCTGCAAGAAGGTGGAAAGAAGACACACACGGTGGATGAGACAAAAGCATGCAGGAGAAATTCAGTGTCAAAATGCCACCCCCTTCCCCAACCTTCTACATCACAAAACAGGTGGATTGAAGCAACAGTTTACAAGACCATGTATGATGTGACAGCTTCTAAAAGGGAGATCTCATCAGATGGAGTCCCTCATTTCCAGTTTCTCCTCTGCACAAGGGAGACATGTCTGATCCTCATGGAAGAGGATATCTCATGGGAGTGGACTTGGTCTTAGATTGAACATCCTGACCCTATCCCAGCCAAAAAGGTCGAGCCATACCAGGATTTCTTTAGGTACCCTGAAAAATTTTTATTTGCTTTTGATACTTCTGCTGTGTTTTAGTCTCCTCATGAAAGTGAATGCAGGACAAACAGTAAGAGCTGCCAGCAGTACCTCAATGAGCAGTGTTCTGATCTGGGTGTCCCTGTAGTCAATACTGATGTTCCTGGGAGCTTTGTCTCCACAAGCTTCATCATCCTTGGCCTCTGCAGTAATGCTGAACACCACATTACCTTAAATAACAGCAAAAAAAGGAAGGAAATGGACCTCTGCCATGCAGGATGATTGACAAAGTTAGAATTTTCATCTGATGAATAAGATGAAGTAGTTCAACATAATGAATGGTCAGTCACTGTAGGTGGGACATATGGGAAGAGAACTGATCTCTAAAATGGCCATGATAAACACACTGAAGCTGTGGACAAGCTCTTTAACCCAGAGAACTGGAAAGAACAGTGGTAGACCAAGCTCTCTGGGTTGGAAAAGGATTAAGTTTTTTCAGGTGAGATATAAATTAGTATCAATCTTGGAACATAAAACCAAATAGATTCAAAGAACTTACCGATTTCTTTGGGGAGAATATTCCAGACATAGGTCTTTCTTTGCTTGGCACATACACATCCATCATCCTCTGGGGAGATGGGTTTGGCTTGATAATCAAGGGAATCCAACAGTGAAACATTAATCTGAGAACAGAAAGAGTAGTGTAATGGGATCAAGGTTTTGTACCATATTGCAAATGGTGTTTTATTGTTAGAAGGGGCGAGACACTATCTGCTTACATCTGGAGTTAAGTGCAGGGCAGATTTAAGGCCTCAGATGATGATGATGTTTGATTAATCATCTGTCAGATGTAACCTGAACAGTTTGCCCTCTTGCTTCTCTCAACAGTCTCACTGTTAACACAAGATGTTAAGCATCCTATGCACACCTGCTTCTCAAGGAAAAGTGAAACCATTGATGGCTTGCATATCTGTGGATGGTGAATGATACTCTGCAAAGCACTTGCTTCCTTTCTCTATGGATCTTGATACAGTTGCTTTACAGATCTGCCCTAGTCACAGCTCACAAGATCTCCCTTTGCTCTGTACTGTTTGTTCTGAGAGGACAAATTCAGAGGACAAAACAGAGGATAGTCTGTTGTCAGGTAGAATGAGCAGTACCTCAGTCAAGAGCAGATCCAGCCACTTGCACCATTTTCTTTGGAGATGGGATAAGGTCTAAGAATGTGGGCAGAAGTACACACCTTAATGCACTGGTCAAGGTAGTTGAAGACAGTGGCTCTAAGCAGGAAATCTTCTCCTCGTATGATGGAGTATGGCAAGGTCAAGTCAACAAAGAAAGGCTGCAAGGCTGTCACGGTGGCAGGCGCAGATATGCCAAATCCAGCCAACTCTTCCACACAGAAAGCACTGGCTTTCCATTTGGTAATGGTGTCAGGGATGGTGTATGAGATGCTGGTTTTTCCAGTAGAGCTGATGGGAATGGAGAAAGAATGAAAGCTTTCAAAAGGGTAAATTTCAGATAACTTCCTTCTCAGTAGATGCAACAAGTTTTGAGAACCAGAACTGCCCCTATTCTATCTGCAGAAATACCACGTACAATCCCTGGAATTTATCACTAAAATTTGAGAAAAGTCTATTTAAATGTTCCTCTGCCCATCATATCCTAGAGTTTGGAAAGACAACTCAGAATTCTTGTTCTGCAAATCCATATTTTAAATAAAGGTGTTCTTCTTCTGAGGACTGGAATATGACTCATGGTACACACATTGTGAGAACAGGTGTCTAGGGATATCTTTGGTAATTTGATCATGGAAAAGAGAAGGGCAGATGGACAGCTGATGACTGAAAAACTAGGTCTTCTGGGCCAGAAACCTTGCAGGACATCAGAGAACATATTCACTAATTCCTAAAGCAAGGCACAGATATGAAAGAAGCAGTACTCACTTAATTGGAACTATATCCCAAATCCAAGCTTCAGGAAAGAATTCCCGAATAGTCTCAAGGATGAGTGTCCTCTCTTGTTCCTCCTGAGCAGCTTCAGCTGGTAAGAGATAATGAGACCTTAGGAAAGCCTGGTTCATGTAATGGAGATGCCCAGAAAGGACAGGTTTGAATGTGCATGGGCCAGTATGAAGGACAAGAAGTGTTTTACCATTACGTTCTAACTGAGAATATATAATATTCATATATACACACATGCCACACAAATATTATTAAATGTTGCTAATATATCCCTCAGTTAGGTATAATCTGGTGGTTATATCCAAGGAAAAAGAAAACATTACTTTGGTCTCTCATAAGCGTAAGACCTAGGGCTAGAACTCAGGTCACTAGGCTTTTAGCTCTGATTACTGTTCCCACTGTCACACAGTCTTTTCCAACTAGCTCTGGTCAGAAGGGAATCAACAGAAGGCAGTCAAATTAATTTTGTGTGACACTTCCAATTGCCAACAATTCACGGTGTGAAACTGGACACGAATCAGAAATGTAGACCTGAAAAACTCCTTTGGGCATTGGCCATTAGCTTAAGCCACCTCATTTGAAGCCAGACCAATATTTAATATAAAAACCAAAGTGATTAATGAGTACAGTCCATGTCTGTATAACAAGAATACCTCTTCCTTTAAGAAGAAAGGTAAAATCTCTTTCCTGTCCTCTGTATTACCTGATGATTTGACATGGTGTGCAGAAGCCACGTGCCCTGCATTCATTACATATGGTTGACGCCTTACAGTCTCACCAGTGCATACAACTGGTTGTCGAACCTTCGAGTTGGTAAAAAATTTAATTCCCATATCCTGTAAAAAACACATTCTAGGGTTAGCCATAACCACACTGTAGATGAGGTTTGTTCCATTCTTCACTCTTTCCCATTACTGTGTTTCCACCACAGAGGTGCCCAGAGACATGTATATAGAGACTTTTGGGAGTTTTGTGTGGAAAATCACAGTAGGCACTGGAATAAATTGAGACTAGAGGTGTAAGAGGAAAGTTTGTCATTTATGAGTTTTACTAATAGGGTTGTTTGCAGAATTTAACACTACATAAGCAGAAACTCACTAAAGCATATTTAAGTAATGTACAGGACATTTACCCTGAGGAATTGATACACATCTGGGCCTAATCCAGACATTACGGGTGTGTAATACAAGCCTTTGTGAAAAATGTGGTCAGATGAGACACAGGGCTCTTGGGAGTCTTCTTCTAGATTGAACCCACGGAAGACATAGCCTTGAAAGTCTTGTAGGGGATGCAGGCTGTATACCTGTGAGGGGAAAGGAAACAGTAACTGTGTGTATGTAAACCTCAACCTTACTTACACCATCAAGTACTGCAAATTGCCAAAACTGAGATGACAACCTGTTTGAAACCATTTTGTTTCCTGGACTGAGAAACAGCTGAATGGTTGGGATCAGAGGGCAGTGATCAGTGGCACAAAGTCTAGCTGGAGACCAGCAACCAGCGATGTACCACAGGGTACTCCAGTACTGGGTCTAATCTTTCTCAATATCTTCCTTGATGATCTAGATGTTGCAGCAAGGGTCTACCCTGAGCAAGTTTGCTGACAGCACAAAACTGGGAGTAGTGGGTATGCTAGAGGGTTGTGTTGCCAAAAACCAGTCACAGGTTAAACTAAATCCCAGATGAAAGAGGATTTACAATCCACATGAAACAAAATCTGTTTATTGCCTACTAGAGATGGCTTATGACTGGCACATGCCAGAAGCCGTAAAACTCTAATTCAGCCTAATAATCTCAAGTGAAGAGACACTGTAATGGAGGAGGAAGAAGCAGTGGAAGGAGACAAGGCATTTGGCAGCTTACCATTTCCATGGACAGCTCTGCCTCTGGCTTGAGGAGCAGCACGCTCTGATCCACTGCCCTCACAGCACAGAAGGAGTTGGCAGCAGCTTCAATGACCAAACTGATGTTGGAAGCTGGGTGCATCTGCTTTTCAGAGAATTCCAAGTGAACCTGAAATTCATCAAACAGATGTTGGCATGACTAATCCATGCTGCTGGCTGTGTGTGTGAGTGGAGGACAAGAAGGACAGCAGAAGGATTTTCTGTTAAGGCACAGAAGATGTGCCTGGAGGAGAATGTCTGGTCTTCACTGTAGCTGTTGGCCAGGCCTCTGTTAGAACAGGGACTTAGGCAATAAGCACACTTAGATTCCTGTGATAGCTTAAATGAAGGCTACCTCAAGTGATTGAAAACAAAGTGTGATTCTTTTGCTGTCATTACCGAATCAAATCGAACCTTATTATGACTTGGCTACATGTAATAAACCCGACAGTGAGCAAGTACTATTTTTCCTAGGTCCATGGCCCATGTTAGCAAATGTATAAAACAGATTTTCAGTCTATTCAGAACAAAATCTGTTTCCCATTTATTTTAGATAGGAGGAAAAAAATAGGAGGGGCAACTAGAAACATTTTGTATAATGTCACTTGGTTTGTTTTGTTCGGTAGTTTCATGCATTTTAGCTTTTAGGAGCTAAAGATTAGAAAAGTATTACTGGTGAAATCTGAGTTTATAATGATGAATGAAGATGTACAATAAAAAAAAAAAAAAAGAGGAAGAAATATTTAACCCGAGACTGCTATTTTGGCTTTCCTTTTTATGTGTATTTAGTTCTGCTAAATCTAAACTGCATTTTTCAACAAAAAAGTGTAAAAACTTAGATTGAATGATGAAGTGGAATAAGTCTAAAGTGTGTTCACTATGTTGAAGAATAGAAAGTCTAAAAACTGAATGGAACACTAATAGAGTTTAAGCGAGGCAAGAATCATTTGAGATTGACGTGGGTCTCCTGAAAAGTTCTTAATGTTAAAACAAGATATATCTTCTGATGATAAGGCCAGGAGGTAGTTGTAGAGGAAAGATATAAGCTCAAAGAGAAGAAAAATAAAAGAAATAATGTAGAGGGAAGTAGAAGGAAACAAGAAACAAAACTCTTGTGGATGTATACACAAAGAATTTGTATTTATCTGACAGCAGGAAAGGCTTGCTATACCTTAGTGCCTCTCACCTTGTTTTTGAAACACTTCTCAACTGGCAATTGAACACTGTCTGCCACCAGCTCCTTGTCAGGGTGTAAGGTGTACACCAGCAACCGAAGGGCTGGAGCCATTTTCTGCCTGACCACAAGGGGAATGGTGAAAGTGCCATTTTGGCCTATTAGAAGAAATAAAGGCAACAATAAGGAAGGAATATCAAAGATTTACTGTAGTAGTAGCCAAACTCAACAGGTATGTAACTTTATCAGTCAGTGGAGCAATCTCAAGATGATAAACTGAAAAATTTTCCAGGAGATGATGGGTCTAGATTTAATCCAGGTGGTCTCAGATTTATTGTAGATTTAATCATATGGCCATATTCAGGTAGGATCCTAAAGCAGACACGCTGCATTCCCTATGTCATCCTTTGGGAATATCTTTAGAGAACACTATTTGACTAATATAAAATTCAGTAACTGCTGGACTAAACATGATTTTATAGTGATCTCAGTGGTAGTGCTACTGTCAGGCACACATGCATGGGTGGAGAGAGATACGGCCCTTCCTGTTGCTGCTCTGTTCAACCAAACTCTGGGTGTTTTGTTGTTTCTTTGTTTGTTCTAATGAAAAAATAGGGATTGGCAACTTAACTTACCAGCTTGGATATTAACTTTAATTTCCCCTGTGAGGACAATCTTGCCTTTTGTCATGCCCTGTGCAGAGAAGATCAAGACATGGATGAATTGGCAGAAGTTGGAGGGAGAAAGCAGCAATCAGGTTCATTGTGCATCAACAGGACAATGTACAATTAGATGATCTCAAATGCTTAAACATAAGCCTTAGGGCATGCTGAATGCTCCCACTGCTGCTTCTGGGAACCTTGCTGCTGGTCACAAAGCAGAAGCAAAAGGAAGGGAAAAGGGGGACAGAGAATACCATGAGAATGACTCACTGCTGTAATTCCTGTGGATGGACTGCCAGATAGATGCTCAATAAAGCCTGTTCAGCAAACCAACCCACAACTTCATACTCACCACATAGTAGAAATTAATGGTGTTGATTCTTTTGTATCCTTCTGTGTTTAAGACATAGTGCACAGTGATCTTCCTCTTCTGCCCACATTTCAGATCTTTCCACACAGGCTCAATCCTCACAAAACTGCTAGTCCAAGAGTAGAAGCGCTGGACAGAGAGAGATGCTTCTGGGTAGTAAGGCTCTATCCAGCCTTCATAGTGGCAGTGGTCACTGGTTTTATAAACTGCCTGAACAGGAGAGGGAGTAGGGAAGAAAAGGAAAACAAACATATATCACTAGGGAACTCGTCATCACATTCTGACATCAGAACTATTAGTTCACGTAATGCATATGGATAAGAACTGCATCTAAAGCAAAATCGGTAAGGAAAGAGCAGCCTTGCAGCATTCCATTGCATTGTAACAGCTCAGATGTTTTCCTCACTCCTCTTATAGTAGTTTTTGAGAGCTCTACATAATGAAGAAAGATGAAGAAACGTATTTTTATTACCAGAATTAATACCTCATCCCATCATTTTTTGGGTTCATTTTGAGAGCAGCCATCTCTCTCTTTGTCTCTATTCAGCCTTGTTTTGTACTCACTTTCAGACTGATCTCGGGATCAAACATTTCAGATGTGTCAATGCTAAACTCAGCAACACCATTATGATCTGTGGTGACGTTGTCTGTATTCTTGTTATTAACAAATAGCTGAATAACCTCATTGGAAATTGGAGAGTTGTCTTTGTCCACCAGCTTGATCTGTAAAAGGGAATGTGAAACATGTTGAATGTATTTCTATATGTAGATACTGATATTTGCACTCCTTTGCTCTCCAGACAGAAGAATTCCTTTTTCATCTTCCTTCAAAGCAGTACTTGACAACTGAAATTTCTGTCTTCACTTTCTGGCAACTATCTGAGCTATCTTATGAGGTTTGGAGCAGGAGCTTCCTCAGCATCTGCTATATCATTGATAATGTCTTTTTGTGGAGCAAGAACTTTCATGTCTCATCTCTTTCCTGATTAGTCCTTTCTGACTATACATTTCCAGTTTAAAAATATATTTTCTTTTCTCCCTTCCTTTTTTTCCTCCCCTAGTCTTGAGAGTCTGCTGCTGCTATTTTCAGTGTCTGAAAACCTTTTCTCCACATCTTTGTTTTGAGCATTTTTCTGGTTCTGTCTATACCGTCTCTGCTGTTTATGTGTTAAACAAATAACAGATCCCACTAAGTAAATTCTATGTTGCTAGGAATGAGCATTCATTTTGATTTTTTAAAAGAAAAGAACAGATTGGGAATGGGAATCAAATAAGAAAGTTAAATAGACTTTACAGACTTCACCCTTGAAAGACGATCTCATCTGCTTTCAGTGTTACTGGTCCCCCTTATTTTTTCCTCATTGGCAAAAGATGAACTGAAGTAGAGAGATTTATCCCTACCCTTTAAACAACTGTCAGAGTTATGTAGATATTGTCATAAAACAAAATAATGAAAAACCTTTCTGAAACAGAAACTCTTGTTATTTTCCTGAGTTTCTTTGTGCCTTAAATTCCTTTCCCTCTTTCTTCCTTAATCCACCAGTGTTTCTATTCATGTCTGGCTGGCATGTGATGGTCAGTTCTGAAGAGAGAGGCAGTGATTTATAGCAAGCTTAAAATGCAAGTTAGACAAATGCTAGTTAATGAATTGTTCTGATTTCAAGTATTTCTGGCAGATTCAAACTCAGAATAAACTAATAGTCTTCAGCACTCAGAATTACCAGTAGGGCATTGCATGTAAGGGAAGAAGACTGGGGAGAACACCCCCACCCCAAACAGTCCCCTAGATACTGCCATCATTGTTGTTATGTGATTGCCTGTCAACCATCTTCAACACCAGGCCTCCAAGCTCTTGCTTACCTGTCCAAAGTAAGGAATTCCTCTTCTGTAGTGGTGGTCCATGTTCGCAAACTGTATGGTGTTCATCACCCGAGTTATGGAAATAACATGAGCCGCTGTAAATTGCAGGCCTGGAAGATATGCCCAGAGTCATGAGAAGATACACTTTGTCTTGCACAGAGCATCAGCAGAGTTTGCCTGGAGATGGTCCCTGGGCTTGTAAAAACGACCTTCCTCAGGGAGACATTCTTGTACTCAGCAAGCAGAGGCTATCTCCTACTCTCCTTCTTGACCACACATCTTTTGCTGTTTCTGTCTGTCTGGAAGAGATTACCTGTTCCTTTCTCTGTCACAGTGGCTTTCACATCAAGGTTCCTCATGTAACCAGTGCGATGTAACTCAAAGATGTTGGAGCTGAAGACCTGGGAGAGGCAACCATCTGTCTCCAGCTGGACAGGGAAGAAAACAAATCCTGCTGTCAAGGATCATATCTTGCAAAGGGTGTTGACAATACACAGGACCCTTCTTTAGAGAATGATGCCTTTTCTCAGTACTTTAAACATGTTTATGCATGATTTATACGTGTTTATGGGAAACTGAGTCATGAAGAAGAAACATGTCAATCCTTCAGGCCTGCAGGAAGCCAAGAAGAGAAATGAGGTACCCCAAGATCCTAGCTAGTCATAAAAACAAAGAGATGAGTAGGGTGAAGAAAAGTATCAAAGAGAGAAAGCAAAATGAGATGAGCAAAGGGAGAGAAACAAGAACACAGAAGAGAGGACAAGCATGAAGAGGAACAATAATTATGTATCATACATTTTTGGTAAATGATTGACAAACTGGGCTTTTCTTGCACCTCCCGTATGAATCAAAATCCCTGCACACACTGAGCTTGACTTTCCCTTCGATAGGCTGGCCATAGGTGTACCTAGGGGAAGAGGAAATATGATCTGATGAGGTCTATGAGCTAATGCTTGACAAACAATCTTAAACTAATGTGTGCAGGAATAGATTCAGGACAGCAGCTCACTGGGAAGCCAGAGCATGGAATAGTTTCATGGGTTTTTCCTAATTCTCATGCTTTAACAAAATAGAAAATACAACTCAGTAATCAAAATTAGTTCTTTTTCATACCTAAACCTATGAAACAAAGCTACACTTTGAATGCAAAACCAAATACCTTTATAAAACTCCTCATATCTGCTAGGGGATTGGGATTTCAACTCGGTATTCCAAATTACAAGATCTTGGTGTTGATGTAAGCAAGGTCCTTCTGAAGGACCAAGATTGGAGGGGGAGTTAGACAGCTGGAACCATAAGATTCCTGCTAGAATGTACTGGTGCTCTGCTTTATGAAGGTCTCCCTCTGAAGTGGGTTCTTGGGAGTGGACACATCCTACTTTACCAGGGAACCTCTCAAAAGATTTATCTACCTTGCACAACACCATGTAGAATCAAATATTTACACAATAAAATGAAAAGAGCACACAAATAAATTAAAGCTCTAGAGACCAAGTCAACCCTCACCAACCTTTTCTGGGGTCCTACATATTTTGGCTTCTTCTCTAAACCCTGGCTCTTTACCCAGTCCTTGGGAATTTCTTCCACTTCAGCATATTTCCTAGCAACTCTGCATGTGGTACTTACAACCCACAGACTTTCACTGCGAACTCTGAATCCAGGACTGTAAGGCTTTCTGGTGCACTGACTGTGACATCAAATTTTGGCAACACTAGGACAAAGAGCAAAAAGAAAAAACCCAATACTGGCATATTGTAAATTTGCAGACCCTCCTAAGATGAAAGCAAAAATGAGGATATATCTTATTGTTAGTCATAGAGGGAATGGGATCTCAGAACCTGGGTGGCAGTATGATTAAGAATTGGCCTGATCTGCAAAGGCTTACTGAAGTATTCCTGCAACACTTTGAAGAGAAGACAGGACTTCTGAAATTAATTCTGTGATGTCTAGATGCCTTGTGGAGTTTTGGAAAGGAAAGTTCATGGACATAGGTGGGAAAAATTTAGTTTGTCTCATTGAAATTTGCAATCAACTTGCTGATTTCTTATGCTGATTATTTTTCTGGCTGAGTGTATGAAAAATTGTAAAATTTTCTCGGGTTTTTTTTACTGTTCTCTTTCTTTTTTAATCTCCCCAGTTCTTAATGACAACTAATTGAAGCTGCATTTCTTAGCAAGCTTTTTGAAGTTTTAGCAGTCAAAAAGGTTGCTTCATATGGGCTCATAGCTAATGTTTCCTACACTGAATTTAAAAAAAAGGGTGGCATTTACCATATTCCTCCACAAGGAATGAGTGATTTGTTCTATCTCCTGACTTCTTTGCTACAATAATTTTGTAGTTCCCCAGGATAGGCTCTTCAGTGAGTGGGAATTCCAGCTGAATAATGTTCATCTCCGACTTCACATTTTGCCACTGCAAGATCCTGTTGCCCCTTGGATCCTGAAGAAAAAAGAATACAGACTCACAATCTTTTTGCCTTGGAAATCTTTTGCTACTACCACACAAAACCAGCAACAAAGAAGAAAACAGAGCAGGTTGCTTTAATGCACTGGAGAAGCTGCTTAATGCACGTGCATTGAGCTAAATTGCACCTTTGTAGTCTGATTATTCATGTTATTATTACTGTTGTTAGATTCTCATCTATTGTTCCCACTTTAGGCATTCTCTGCCAGCCTACTTATTAGTCTCAATCATCAGGGAAAGTTTCACAATACTGCTCTTTCCTGCTCTTTAGTATATGTTGCTCTAGATTTGTGTCAAGAGGAGAGAGAAAGAAAATCTTCTTTGTGCTTTCCCTTCAGCCAAGTTTATCCCACACAAATCTTGGCCTTTAGCAACCCCAGCTTTTTTTTTTCAGCTGCCAGAAGAAGGAAGGAAACCTTTCTTCTGCATTCACTGGGGTGGCATTTTCCTCTCAGTATATGTTATACTAGCTAGACTAAAGAAAACTCATTCACACCATTTCCTTGTCTCTTTACAGCAACAGCTGGAAGAAAAACAAGTGGAGGGCTCAAAAGATGTATGTTCTCACTGCAAAGAAAATAAAGTCCCCTGACTTCACAGTGTAACATGAAAACTTGTAAGTATGCTGTCTAGACATGAACTGATATTGTTTTAAAAATCACCAGAAAATACCATGAAAGTGCTGACATAGTTAGTGCTTGTATTCACAACCTATATTTGTTCATAGTTTTTAGCAGCACTAGAGTTACAAAAAGATATATCCCAAAGTAAGTGGAGCAAATGGGGAAAGGGGAGGGAGGGAATTAAAGGCAGACATAAGAACACTAAGAATTTTGACTGCTGGAATGATTGTAGGTGTGCTTTCCATGCCAAGCTCAAAGAGCATCCTTGTTCTGTGTTAAGGAGTTTCTGTTAATTTCTGCTGTTGTACTCAGCAGCAAGATTTTTCTGGGTATGGACACATTCAAACCCACGTAAGGACATGTGCCCAGAGTAATGCAGTACAAACATAAAAATTTCTTACCTGAATTGCAATCAAGGGGTACTGAAAGAGGAAAAAACAGAATGGAAGAAGATATTAGGTGGCTGATCAAACACAAATTATTTTTCCTCAGGGCTGTGAGAACTATATAATCAATATTCAGTATAATACTATGAATACTATATACTGAAGTATATAACCAATATTCAGTATAATACATCAGAGGTCTTCATCTCTTATTTTAATCAATTTAACAGCAATTTTATTTCAATAAGAAGCTTGCATAAAGGAGAGAGATGAAATGAGAATGGTGGGACAGTTTCATACTGTTTTTAGCACAATCTCAGAGTGTATGAGTGAACAGATTCATGGAGGTGCACATAAACCATGATTTGTGCTTCTTATTAGTACCAGCCCTTTTGCTACCACTATGCTGTCTCCTGCATTATGAGTGCAGGAGAGGAGACCAGTGAAGACCCTTCCATTAATTTCCCTTATGCACTATGAGCATGACGAGAGACTGCTGGCAGTGGAAAGAATATCCCTGAGGAGATAAATAATTGTGGCAGCACTTTCTCTTCAATTTCCCGCATTTCTAAAATGGGCAAAGTACCAGGTGGATGATTTACTGATGCCTGCAAACAACATTTGCTGAACTGTAACAGCAGGAGACTGAACCGTGGGCTTTCTGGTCAGAGCTAAGATAATGTCTGTAGCAACAAAGTGGAGGGGGTTTTGAGTCTCTTTCCCAGCAACAATAGAAGGTGTTGTGTCAGGAATTCAAACTGCTTTACACTTGCCTTCTTCCCTGTGACTCTAATGAAAGTCTGGATTACAGCATGTGCTTAGGAAATCAGGTTAATTCTTTTGCATTTAGTCTCCGCAACATCTCATTTTATCCATAGGAGTTCTCTATATAAAATTTGAGAGGAAATTGTCTCCCAGCAATTTGAAATACAGGGGAATATTACTGGTCACTAACCTTCTCCTGAACGGGTTTAAAATTTAAATCCAGGGCAACAACACGAAACCTCACTGGAAAAGCAAGAAACAGAGTGTTAGCACTGACCATAGTTTGTTTGGCTAAGCATGTTTTACATTCATTAGTACTCCCAGTTTCACAGGTCTTCCAACAGTCCTGCTTGCACAGGATGCACATAATAAAGTGCTTGTGAAGGTAAAAGAACCCTACACAGTCTTTGATCAAAGATCTTTTCCCTAGCATCAAGCTCTTGTACCCTTTCATAAAAGTTTCCTTTATTTTAGTAATGAAAAGTTTACTTTCATGGAAGTTTAACCTCACAGAAAGGATTGACGGAAGAAGTAAGAACTACATTACCTTTTCATAATTTGATTTTGTCTGCTGCTTGCCCCAGGTCAAAACCAAGCCATTTGACCAATAAACAACCCATATTGCACACCTTAGTGGCATGAAATTCCAAATGGTAAGCTTTTCTTCATACTGTGTATCTATGTAGATAAAACTGATCTGAATTAAAGTAAAACTAATCTAGTCTAATGGCTGTATTATGTGACTAATCTCTGGGAAGAAGTCTTCTCTGGTTTCCTGTAGTATGTGCTAGAAACCTTAAAGCCTAGAAATTAATTTAGGAATGGATCTAGAAAAATGGAGCTCTACTTAATGGGCATGTGTGAAGCATGGATGGGGGGATAGCATAAGTGCAGGAATACAACTCTGCAAGAAAATGAAACTCTAGATGAAAATCTAGAGTCCAAACATTTCAGAGGCCAGAAAGTAAATATCATTATTTTGTCTTTAACAACTTTCAGTTAATTTTAAAGTAACAGATTTCACTCTTGTTGTTTAGGCTATTTTGATGCTGACCAACACCACAGAGGGAAGCATTGTCTTATGCCAGGTATTGATCTAATCACCTCTCTCCACTATCCTGACCTGTCACCAGTAATGAAACAGCTGCAGTAATAGCTTCTGTCACCTGGGAGGAAGGGATGAATAAAATAATGGAGATGGTGGGATGACAGTCTCCTGACATCCTGAAGATGACTCCCTAGGCTCCACAGCAAATAACTTAATAGTTTTAACAAGAACTCTGAATAAACTGTCTAGCATGTAGTTCAGCCTGAAAAACACCAGACAGAGAAATTCTGCCTGAAGAAATTGCCTCCTAAGGTCATGTTATGGACAAAGTGGACATTCACCAGTCTGTCCTGGTTTGTAGATGGGTTTGTCTGTCTGCACGAAGACGATGCTCTCTGTGTCCCAGATCATCACTGACCGCCGCTCCTCTAGGCTGATGGTGCTGCCCTTGGCAGAGAAGGAAATGAAAGCCAGGGGTGCAGAGTGGACAGGAGGAATCTGTGAAGAAAGAAGAAACATGGGGAGGTTGTTAGTCTTGAAGTCATTTGCTCCCGAACCTGTTGAACAGCAATACCTGTGGCCTGGGCTCCTGCAATGAGACACAAGCTCACTTCAACCAGCTTCATCACCTTTCTTGCGCTTTTTCTTATTAGTTGCATCTGCAAAAAAAGCCTCCTTTTCTGTTACTATGTTGCTCTTCTATGCTTCCTTTTTCCTTTAACAAGTCTTATTTCTTTCCCTGTTTGTTCCTTGCCATGCTCTCTAACTTTCTTGTCCCTGTTTACAATCCTTTTCCATGGGGACATAAATTAAAATTAACTTACCTTGAAGTCAAAGCATTGTAGACCACTGCTTGCTGTCATGGTTTTCTTAAAAATAGTGGTATTAACAGAGCTGTATTCTAGGATTACTCTGACAGATACTGTCTCGTTGAGGTTATGGAACTGCAGGCAAACCTGACCTGGAGAGTCATTTTGGAGGACAGCAGGCACCATCAGGACATACTGCCTATGGAATTCCAACATCAAAGTGATCACATTCATATGTAAAGGAGAAACAGCCTCAACAGGACAAACACATAACACTGTTATTATTAAGTACCCACCAATTACTTTAGATTATATAGGACACACTGCCAGTGCTCCTCACTCCATTCTGCAGCTCTGAACTAGCTCAGAGCTGCTATTGCCCCCAGCTCTTGCCCTTTTGCTCTTTATCTGAGCCCTGGGCCCAGATAAAACCACCTGGTTTTAGCAAAGCACCCTGCTGTCACTACTGCTATTGCCTTATCTGGACACACATCAATTTCCATGGAAGTTCTGCAATAGGTAGAAGGTCTGATCATATTAAATGAGAATTGTTCACTTGCCATCCCCATTCTGCTTTAGCTCTCCAGATATAAAAGATGAGCCCTGGCAGTATTTAAATTTTAGAGAAAAATCAATAACACTGACTAGCACTGTCTTTAAAGCCTTTTCACAAATACTAATAGTAGTAAGAGGGTAGTTCTTACGGCTCAGGTTCCTTTGCAGCTGCTACATGCCAGAGAAGAATAGCCAAAAGAAACTTCAGCCACATTTTTCTCACTGGGACACAGAAGAAAGAGATAAGTTCTCTTCCCACGAAACAATTCCTTGCCTACTAGTTTAACAGCTCTGCAGCATTCCTCACCCAGTTCTCCAGAGGAAAGGAGTTTGCTGTTCAACTCCTCCCTGGCTCCTTCCTTTGATGTTGGTGCCTTTATAACTGCAGCAAGGGGTGGAGATCCCAGTCTATCCAACTCCTTGCAAGAGCCTCCCCTAACACTACTGCAACCAAAATCAACCCACCATCTGCAACATTTCACTGCACTTCTCTGAATGTCTGCACAAAATACCTTCAGTGGTCTTGTTTCGAGGAAAGGGGCTTTGGGTTTTACACTGAGACTTGTCACACTACTGAAAAAGCACAAAGTGATCTAAACCCAAGTAAGTCTGTCAAACCAGATTAACATCTGAGAGTTTTCCCCATTGTTCTTGGAATTTACCAACTGGATTAACAGTGTGGGTGAAGTAGACCAATTTTCTGTATTTTGTCACCAGATTCTGACTAATATTGACCTCTCTTTTCCCTTGCTTCATTGGTGTTTTGAAAATTGACAAAATGGAAAAATAGAGACGCTAGAAACAGAAAGAGCTCTAAAAAGTCTTAATTGCTTCTACCTTAGCCATTGAGCACTTGACAGTGCTGTTGAAGTTTGATTCATTTCAGCTTGGGATTAGCCAGTCACTGGGTCTATGGGAATTTGTTAGCTCCCCAGGTTTCCAGTTTTCACACCTGTGTGGAAGCTAATAGAGTTTTTTATTAGGGAGAAGGAATTTCTTTTGTTCTCTTGTACTCTGAAGAGAAAACAAAGCACTCAGGTGGGCTGCTCCCTACAAGAAAAACAGTGCTGGAAAGCAGTTATTTGATAACTGTAAATAATTTTTTCCATTAATTTTGGCACTGGGCACTGGGTCGGTCTGGCATGAGGTCATGAAGTCAGCTTTCTGCACAGTAGCCTGCTGTGCTGTGCATTTGAGGCTAGAACAGTGCTCATAACTCACCAGTGTTTTGGCTCTTGCTGAAGAGTGCTAGCAGAGTGTCAGGGCTTTCTACCTCCCCCACCTCCCAGCCAAAAGCCAGGAAGCTTGGGGTGAGTAAAAGACTCTGAGGGGCTACAGCCAGGACAGATGACCCAAATAGGCCAAAGGAATGTCCTGTACTGCCACAGGACACCATGCTTAGCAATAACAGGTGGGGGAAAGGAGGAGGAGGGACAACATTAGTGATAACAGCATTTGTCTTCCAAAGCAACCACTACCTTACTGAGGCCTCACTTCTCAGGGAGTGGCTGGACATCTGCCTGCCAATGGGAAGCAGTGAATAAATCCCTCTTTTAGCTTCTGCTTTCCTTTTTAAACTCTTATTTCAACTCACTAGTCTTTGACATTCTTCCTGGAAAATGGGAATAAGTGAAAGATTGGCTGACTGCTTGGCTGCCAGAGAGATATGGGTCCAAGGGCAGAGTACCTGTATGAGAGCACAATTTTCTCTAATATCCTGATGTGCTCTATGACTGTCTATTGTTGTTTCTTGCTAGTCTGTGAAACTTTCTCCAACAGAAACATGGGGCACATAGGGTGGCTGTAAAATGTTTTCACTCATGCCCTTAAATTTTTCACAGAAGTATCAAACCATATGGAAATGGAACACAGCAGAAGTAGCAGATGGTTCCCCAGAGGTCTCTCTGAGTCATGGTGTAGGTGCTTAGAACACAGACAACAGACTGAGGTTCTGTTCTGAAAGCCCACCTCATTGTCATTTCTGTTGCAGAGGATCTCTACAGATTCTGCAGTTAAGGAGCTTCCCAAATGATCAGGCTTTATTTTCTCTGCAATGGGATATCCCTACCAGGAGCTGCAAGATCAGAAATTCACTGACAAGGGCTCGAACTTGAGTGGACATTGTGGAAAAAGGAGATGACCAGTGTTGCAGGTTCTTGCTTTTCTTGGCTTTCTCAGGTAGTTATAAATTTATTGCAATGTAATGAAGTATTAATTCCAAACAAGTCAATTTGATAATCATCACAATCCAGAAGCTTTCTGAGTCTACTTTTGAACATTTCATCAGAGAGTGTAATGGGTTAGGTGACATTCAAAGGTGTAAGAGGTAGAGAAGGGTAGTTGTGTATAACTTACTGTTATAACAAGCAGGCATTTTTGCCCCAAATCTAGGCTGGATTGTGGCTTTGGTCAGAAAGTGCACTGTTGTGTCTCCAGGAACTGGCACTAATCACAATGTCTTCTGTGCAAAGGTACCTTCTGTACAGTAACCAAATGAAGGAAAAAGATTCCTCATGTATCCTATATCCAAATAATTCACTGCACTAGTTTAAAACCTCCACTAATCACAATGAAGGAGGTGCATCTGGTAAGGAAATAAACAAACAAAAAATGCAATGATCTATTGAATTAATAGGTTTGCAACCAAACAAGTTCTCTGGGTGAAAAAGGCCACTGTAACTTTATCATAACAAGGGAAAACAGAGGTCATCTCATCTTCTTGGCTATAACATATAATAACTTGTCTTTCACAGGAGAATCAAACAACATTCCACTGCATACAACAAAAAAAGTTGTTTTCAGGGCAAATATTTATGAAACCATTGACATTTGTTTTTAATTATTTTTTATTCTTATTATTTGCTGACTACATGTCTTTGCTTTTCAAATCCTACCCATTCTTTTTAACTCAGCTGCATATGCTCAAGAAGCTTCTGAAGATTGCTCTGTGGGGAAGTTAGAGAGATGATACTTAATCATCAGATCTGTATTTCATAGAATCATGGAATGGTTTGGGTTGGAAGGGACCTTAAAGATCATCCACTTCCAACCCCTCTGCCATGGGCAGGGACACCTTCCACCAGACCAGGTAGCTCAGAGTCCTATCCAGCCTGGTCTTGAACACTTCCAGGGATGGAGCATCTGCAGCTTCTCTGGGCAACCTGTGCCAGTGTCTCCCCAGGTTCACAGTAAGAAATTTCTTGCTAATATCTAATCTAAACCTGTTCTCTTTCAGTTTGAATGCATTCCCCCTGTCTTGTCACTCTATGGGCTTTTAAGCAGTCTCTCTCCACATTTCTTGTCGCTTCAGGTACTGGAAGAGTTTCTTGGTTTTGGGCAATGTTGGAGAAATGTCTGTATACAGACAGATTATCTTGCATTCTTGACTCAAAAGGAGGTTTTTGCCAGCTAACTTTGAATGTTACCTGAGCCATAACTTCAGACTTCAGATACTTTTACTTAGCTGTAGCACACACTAAGAGAGATCTGTGCATTTGTAGATGGAGAGCAATGAGAGGGAACCTTGGCAACAATAGAATCAGCTATTTGATTCAGTTAAATTTGATTTAGTTATCTTTTTTAAAAAATGTCCCACCAGCTTAGTACAGATATCATTCTGCCACTGAAATGGTCCTGCTGCAGCCATAGTTCAACACCAAAAACTGTGCCTTTATGGTTGTGGTTTGGTTTATTTGAGGCACTAGATATGTTCAAACAGTATAAGATTATCTTTACAAATAAAATCTGTCTTGCTGTGAAAAACTACATTAATACTACTTGACTGCAACTAATTATTTCATATTGGGCTGCTCAGTCACAGTAGTTTCTGTGTCTTTCTGTGTGGTTTCTTGATCTCAAATTTCACTCACTATTACTGAAAAGAGCTGCATTTCTTTCCTGTGGGAATCATCAAATGGCTTTAGGAGAATTACAAGAGTCTCTGGAGCAACATGGTTTTTCCTGTTTTTGATGCATTTGTGGCTGCTAGCATTTCATATAATTCTAGTACTCCTTCTCATTCATGCAGTCTAAAGCCAGCTTGGATGTGTCTGCAAGATCTGTATCCATATATTTGTGGTGTGGGCACTCTCAGCTTTCTTGTGAACGGGTTAATTGCTGCATTCAGAATAAGATCAGTGCAAAGAAACTTGGTCATTACAGCTACAAAAATTAGTTATAAAGCACTGAGTCAATCTGTGATTTTGGCTATGACTGCTTCCTGTAACACTGTCTTTTAGAAAATTAGATTGTAACAATTTGTTTAGACGTGGTAAAGGTCGAAATGCTTGGTTTGGCCCAGGTGTTTGGGGAACAATGCTGAAACATGGTAACTATAGATAAAGTTCTGCTTGGTCAATAGGGTCTCTAGTCAAGCATGCAAGATTTCTTCCATTGTTCTAAGATGTGTGAGCCTTGGCAAAGTCCTTTAGCAGCTGAAAGGCTGGTGAGGTCATAAAAGAAAATACATCTGTCCCTAGTGGAATAGTCACAGCTTGCAGTGATTTTGATGAGTGATGGAATTTTTTTCAACAAAATGTGGTGGTGGGGAGGACTGCAGTTTATTTCAGTGGTCTATGATGCCTGGAAAAGGCAGCCACGCAAAAGACGAAGGTAGTTGAAGGTCAGCCTGTTGCAAGGCTTCAGTGACTGTGGAGCGTGGATGGGTCATCCATAACCTGTTTTCAAAACTGAGACCTTTCTCCACATATGCGTGGAGGCTGAGGTCTGATCAGGAATGACTGTGAGCTGAAGTATTAAGCCTTTGTTGTGCAGTTTTGGTGAAAAATGCCAGTGAAAGGAGAGTGAAGCTGGAATCTGACTGCTGTCACTGCACCTGCACAAGCCTCTGAGTGGATACTAGTGGATATAGAAATGAAATTATCTTCCTAGTTGTGCACAGATCACCTGACAGCTTTCAGGCTAAACTATGAATGCTGTGCTATAGTCAGGCTAATAAGAGTCTGCATTTCTTTTGGGTGTGCTTTGCATTTTTTCTGTCCATGCATGGATAGGAACTAGAGTTTTTCAGCCCTCCTTTCTTTGTGGTTTTTCTAGGCAGCATCAAGTTCAGTTCAAATGTGAACAGGTCACAAATAAAATATCGCAATAAGCCCCTCAAAAATTTTCTGGTACTCACTAAGTTAATTCTTCACACTTGCAGATATAAATCAGGCTTTTATTAAAGGAGGAAAAGAAAATACTTAACAATGAGTATCAGGTGGGGAACATTTGACATGTAATCCATAAAATGTAACTAGTCAAGGTGGGACAACTACTCTGGCTTCATGTTCCCCCCTAAACTTCCCATGCCAGCAATCAGCTCATGAGTGGTACTGAGAAATCATCTTGTGTACCAAGGGCTGATGCAAGCTGCACATGATGTTGTCATGTATTGGCTTTTCTGGCTACCAGAAAGGTGCCTGAGACCAGCCATCTCTAGCATGCTGAGGAAAGCCCAAATAATTCTCTGACCTTTTCATCTCTGATCAAACCCCTAACCCTTTGTTTCTATTTCACAGCTGTGCACAGCTATCCTCTCTTTGTAGCTGTAACTTCTGCACTCTGAAGCTAGAAGCATTTGCTTTCATCTCAGGTGACAACTTGTGACAGGCATATGTAGAAAGATGTAGCTCTCTGAGGCTTTCATATTACAATGGCTTTTCTCTGCTTTATGGAAAGCCTGTTTTTTATTTTCATTCTGCAAAAATGACTCATGAACGCATTGCAGTGATAGATTTGTAACTGTTTGAG